GTGTGTGTGTGTGTGTGTGTGTGTGTGTGTGTGCGCGCATCACCTCAGGTGGCAGAGACAGACGTGGTGGTCCTGTGTTAACGTTCCCATCACGCAGCAACCACGACAGGATACGAACAGACGACCTGAGGAGACTGATCGCTTACCTCGCCGGCATCCCCAGGTTACTTATTTCATTGCATGTGATTTTGTGTGGGTGGGTGTGTGTGGCAGTGCCTCAGAATGACATGAACTCCCACAGCAAGTGCTCAAAGCTCTATAAGCGAACACGTGAGAGGGCTGAGATGAGCATGTGATAGGAACAGAGAGCGTAATAATTCAGGAGCAGTTATCTTGCTGCAGCTTCTCGGCTGCCAGAAATCGCTTCTAGAGATGGTGAGATGCTGAGACAGAGAAGAGAAGCCTGGAGCTAACAGAGGCGACATGCAACAGAAAAAGAAATGGAGAGGGAAAAACAGGAAAGAGGTTTAAACGGAGAGAGAGAGGAGGCTGCTGAGATGGGCAGAGGGTGGAAGGATTAAAACTGACAGAGATGGAGAGCGCATGTGTGAGGAGGTGTGTGTGTGTGAGGGAGGGAGGGAGGGAGCGTGTGTATGAAAGCAAAACAAAGTGTCGCAGTAGCCGAGGCAGTGCAGCAGCAGTTCCTGTAGGCGAGCAGCTCCTCACCTCCCAGGTAAAGCGTCGCTCATCCGCCTCCTTCTCCTTCCTTTTTTGACCCGGCATGCTGCTTCTTCTTCTCCTCCTTGCGTATCTCTCAAAAGCATCCACCCTCTTCATCTACACTCACCTCCATAACATTATGTTTGCTTTTTTTTTTTGCTTTTTTTAAATTAGACTCCAAGTTGAATTTCGGGCTTTGAAAACCTCACGTCATCGTGTCACATCTTGCACATCTTTCTTAACTTTGGGGTTTTTGGCATCCCTGTGTTTGTGAAAGGGAACATCTGCACATCGCTGCACACTGTGTGTGTAGCGACAAGCTGTTCCACCGAGAGAGGGAGGGAGAGAGGCTTGGGAAAGCATGGAGGTATTTAGGGATGCAGTGATGGAAAGATTTTAAAGTGATGTATTTTTTATTATTATTTTTTTAAACAACACGATGACATACTAGAAGGGAACGCAGCGATCTGAGTTTGTGGATTGAATAAAGTAGTTGTGGTTGGAATGACATGGAAACGGACAGATGGCAGATGAGCTGCAAAAAATTCTGAATCCTAAAGACAAATTCTGTTTGTTGTGGCATGTCAGATAACTGTGACAGGTTTCAGCTTCAGTGCGTGTATGCAAGCTTGTGCAGCGATAATAAAGATGATGATGGTCAGAGCAGAGCACCACAGGGGGAAGAGGCTGCTGATGCACAAACGGGCTGAACTGTATTTTTATATATATACATATATATGTATGCATATATGCGTTTGTGATTCATTCGTCGCAGGTTTCTGCGTACGTGTGGGTGTGTGTGTGTGACTGTGTGTGCATAGGGGTGCGTGGGTGTGTGTGGGATTTGCTGCGTAGGCTTCTCACAGTATAGAAAATGCGTCATCTCACTGTTTGTTTTGGTTCTCTTTCCTCTTCTTCTCTATTCTTCCTTCTTCCATCTGTCCTTTCCTCTCCATCATCCCTCTTTCATCCTTTCCCACAACTGTCATCTCTCTCTCCGGATTAAACTCTCACCAATCTCTCTTGGCCCCCTTCCCCCCACCCACCCCATGCCCACCCCCCATCTCTTCTCTTTAATTCCTCCCACTCCCGCCGACCTCCATCCTCTGTCCATCCCAGCGAGGAGGTGTGTAAACATGGCTTCACGGTCATTGTTGACATGCGTGGCTCCAAGTGGGACAGCATCAAGCCTCTGCTGAAGATCCTGCAGGAGTCGTTCCCGTCCTGCATCCACGTCGCGCTCATCATCAAACCGGACAACTTCTGGCAGAAGCAGAGGACCAACTTCGGCAGCTCCAAGTTTGAATTCGAGGTAGGATGTTGAGCCAGTGTTCGAGGCAGTGATAGAATATTTCGATGTCTTACTCAAAAATAGCTTTGGAAGCTGTTGAGTGAATAGAAGCAACAGACAGTGATTTTCATTGAAATAACAGGTTCTGGTTTGTTTTGCACTGCCAGATTAATCAGTAATCTTAACACTGTTAAGGGGTTGTACTATTCACACTGGTGATGCGGCGCTTTATCATCCAAATATGAGCAGATATCAGCCATGTTGATTGAAATCACCTAATAAGATGGTAGTTATCGAGTGCGTGGCATCAGTTTTGCTCTAGTTTATCAATCAAGAGCTTAAAGACTTTAAAACGGGTTAATTTGTTTTTTCTTTTTGTTTTTTAAATGAAGATTTATTTTATTTCCCTGGTGCAAAGGGGAATAATAAATAACAGGGGGAAACAATATTGCCGTCAACTAAATTCTTACTCAGAATTTGTCCAGAATTTCATTACATTTTTTTCCCTCCCTCTAATAAACGTTATGCGATAAGCAATAACATTCGCAATAATCAGCTGCCTCTCCAGGGAGTCTCGCCTTCTTGGACTGCAGCTGCTAATGCTCGTTCTGCTGTACAGCCTCGGTCGGTGAGCTTGGCGTAGCGGCGCACGGAGCAGACCTCCACCTGCTGCAGGTTCTGGTTAAAGTGGCCCCAAAAGAACAAGGACTGGCGTCACCAGCTGCAGTCCAAGCTGGTGGAGTTTGAGTCTGTTTGACTGTCGGCAGGTGTTGGATGTTTAGCAGAGACTGAGCTTTCAAAATAAGAGCGAGAGGGTTTAGTAGGTGGCAGGGCTGGATGACCAAAATCTCATACCCCGATTATGCTAAAAGTAACAGTATAGTACATTTTCTGTCAAATAATATAATGACTACATACAAAGGACTTGTTCTACATTTAAAATTTTGCATTTTAAAGTGGAAAACAATCCATCCAAATGATGAAATAAACACTGGTGTACACAGTTTTGCAACACTGTGAAATAAACAGATGTTTCTATGTCGTCATCGTCGTGTCCACAGCATAGTGGTTAAACGTTTACCTTACATCCAAAAGATCCACGGTTGGAGACACAGACCTTGCCCGGTGAACTCCTACTGCCGATTCCGAGCTCGGATAAATGAAAGTATCCATCTACATGCCGAAAGTACCTTTTTCATCCAGTGTACATCACCTTAATCCTCAGAAGGATTAAAAATTATTATCTAACGATTTCTATCGGTTCTTAAAGCGAGGCAGGTTTAGGACAAGGGCGTTAAACATAAAGCTCAGGGGAGCGGGACCAGAATCGGACCGCCAAAGATTCCAGTCCGGCTCACTGGTTGACTTTGGGAAGTGTGAAGGAGGGCATCAATTTTGGACTTTTAACTGTATTTTGTTGCTTTTTTCTGCTGATAAGGACCTCCTCCATCACCAGTCATACTAGACCAGAGTTAATAAGTTGTAAACAATTAAAAGTAAGAAAGTTCCTGTTTTCTGCCATAGAGATGTGTTATTTTGCACTTCTTTTTATGTTAAAATAACTTCTTTACACCAGCCCGGCCCACTGAAGCTCAGAGTGGGCGGTACGTTTCCCACAATGTAAAATGAGTTTGACATCCCTGATTTAAGGGAACTGTTGCAGTTGATATGTGAGCATATATATCTCACAGCTGCCTGTTGTCAAGCGTATCAGTTTTACATTTGGCATTTTAAAGGAACTCGTCACAAAAGCATTTTAAAAAGCCCCCACCCTCACCTCCCTCCAATTTGCTGTCAGCTGAGCTGTGATAACAACCGCTCTGCCGCCGCCCCTCCCTCCACACCCCCGAGCTGCTCATTGTCAGCACATTTCATTATTTTCCTCTCCCCGCTGCTTTGGGTGCGTACACCACCAGCCAGCTGTCTGCCATAGGGAAAAACATTTCATCACATCGAACCCAAAAACGGCTCGCTGCAGATCACGAGGACGAGTATTCGTTATGCTGTCAGTCAAGCGATAGAAGGCATTTTCACAGCTAATTAAGTGATGCGTTCACACGAACAGGCTTATTTTTTACCCTCTGACCATTTCGTCGTCATCAACTCGACACTGAAATGTGCACCAGCGGAGCTCTCGACTTCATCTGATTACAAGCCTGTGTAGTAAATGTCTTCCGATGAGAGCGGAATAACAATTCCCCTCCCCCTGTTTGATCTGTCATTAGCCAGCCTTGCTTACTACGATGATCATCAGCTCTCATTTGTTGTGGTGAAACTTGGGTTGGCATAAGCTCCTGTGTTGTCTTTATTGGTTTTTTATGCAGTGCGTTTTTCTGATACGGAGTGGAAATTTTCCCCTCTAGCTTCTGATTATAGCTACGTAGGAGAACGCACGAGTGTGGAAATTTACTGTGATTGCTCACACGTGTATGAACACGACCTCACTGTAGTCTCATTATATCATATTGATCTTTTGATAGGAAGAATAGCCACAGGGAACGTTATAGTTATCCATGCACCGGTCTGTCATGCCGCACAGGCATTGATTGGATAGCGTGCGTGTGCATTCATGTGCAGGCTTCATCCCCCCCGTCCATGCTTTATGTTTTATTAAGATTTCAGAAGTTTTCATCTTGCACTCTTCATGCAAAATTGATATAGGGCTGTTGCTAGGACTACAGTTGCGTATGTGTGTGAGCGTCCAGCATTCAGTGTGTGCATCAAGGATTTTTCTCTCGCTTTGTGTAATAGAAACCAGAAGTAGGACATGTTCCTCCCTTTTTGTCATCAGTTCATACACAAAGAAAGCAAAGCTCAGAGAGCCGGTCGCAATCTCTCTTTTTTCCGTTCGATTGTTGATAAATGGCACAGTTCAGCACAAGCATAAAATGCTACCCAAACGTCCCTGGCCGACTATCGCTCCATTCAGCGGAGTACAAATCGGTACAATAGCGAACGCGGCAGCATCAGTATTTTTCCCTGGCAAGAGCCGCTGTGCTTTTTTACCCAAGGACAACAGTGCATCTCTGCATTGTTTGGCCTACACAAAGCCTATCCAAGCGATCGCTCCGACTCCATCCATCTCTGGCCATGTGTGTGGGGGTGTTTTGTGCGGAGGTGGAAACACAGGCAACACAGGGAGACTTTTCCTCGGCGTATCACTGAAATTGATATCATGCTGGGGATTTGAAATTCACTTAAGTCTAACATCAAGGAGGCAAAGAAACGTTGCGGCAGGCTGTTAAAGGTTTAGTTCTGAGTTTTGAAGTCTCAAAGACAACATTTTGGTTTGGGGAGGATCTCTTTGGTAGATGGGGGAGAAGTGTTCTTAAATTAGCAGCATCTCAATGTTATTAATCGCGGAGCTTCTGCTGAAGGTCACATAGAGATGTGACCTTCAGCAGAAGCTCCGCGATCTCCGCGTTGTCTTTTCTGTGAGTAAATAAAAATCGTACTTTTCAGCAACGAAACACGGCAGAAGGTGAAAGATTAGAAGCATTTACCACTCAAGTGTCCACCTGAACTCCCTCCTTTAAACCCTCGTTCTTTGCTTCTCGCTCCACTAGACCACCATGGTGTCACTCGAAGGCTTGACGAAAGTGGTGGACCCCTCTCAGCTGACAGCAGACTTTGACGGCAGCCTGGACTACAACCACGAAGAGTGGATAGAGGTACGATCAGCTCAGCCGTCCTGTCACTTCAGACTGTCTGTGCCAAGATCCCCCAAATCCCCAGTGATGTCCAAATCGGATGATTAAGACACAAGTGGACACAGGATTATTCTACTTTCTGATCTGATTGTTTCCTTCTTAAGACAGTCAACCAAACTGCCCATAAGTGGGTCACCATAACTCAGTGTTTTTTTTTGTTTGCTGGTGTTTCCGTCCAGGTGCGTGTAGCATTTGAGGATTTCTCTGGCCATGCTACCCAGATGCTGGCTCGACTAGAAGAGATGCAGGAAACCGTGTCAAGGAAAGACTTTCCCCAAGACCTGGAAGGAGCCAGACGGATGATAGAAGAGCACGCCACACTGAAGAAGAAAGTCATTAAAGCTCCTATAGAGGAACTGGACACTGAAGGGCAAAGGTAAAAAAACAAAACAGTGGTTCTGCATCTTTCTATATATCATATATAATGTATCAGAAATGCCTGTTTTTAACTCTTAGTTCTGGTTGTGTATGTGAATCCAGATCATTTGTATGAAAGATGGACAGGGCAACAGGTTGGAGCGTGATCAAGAGTTTGGGCAGTGCTCTTTCCCCCCCCCTTTTTTTCTCCTTTTTGGGGTTATCAGTTAACAACGGAGGCTAGCTTGACTGAAGCAGTAGCAAAAAGTCTTTGATGTTAATGCAAACATCAAATCTGTTTCCAGATTGCTCCAGCGCATTCAGAGCAGCGAGTCTTTCTCCAATCGCAATGGCAGCAGCGGCGGCAGCAGCAGTAGCGGCAGCGGAGTGTGCAACGCGGACACCCAAGGCCTGGTGCCGCGCATCACCCAGCTGCTGGACAAGCTGCACTCCACCCGGCAGCACCTCCACCAGGCGTGGCACGTCCGCAAGCTCCAACTGGATCAGTGTTTCCAGCTGCGCCTGTTCGAGCAGGATGCAGAGAAGGTCTGTGGCTGGTTCTCTGTGAGCTGTGATGTAGTGATAATCTATAACCAGAGCTGGTGATCACTGCAGGGCACACAAATGCCAATATACATATTTTAAAAAAAAATGCAATTACACACACTGAGAAGCATCGACTGATGCTGTTTGCGAAGACCTCGTGTACTGTAGTCGAGCCCTCGGGATCTTAAACACTAAACAGGTTTGCCCTCCTCCACCGTGAGAGGCGGGAAGATGGAGGCTAGCTCACGCAGGTGCACCGCCACCTACTCTGGCTGCCACACAGACGGCTCGGGCGATGACAGCTGCGTCACAAAATAAGAAGAGACAGGGAGAGAAATGCACAGATCCGTGTTGGAGTGAGTAGAATAAAATAGCAGGTTGCAGCAACACAGAGCGAGCTGCAGTCTTGGATACACTGCAGTAGTAGGAGCTTGTTGCTAGGACACCATAGGCCACAAGTTGTTCTCTAAGAGAGCCAGAGAGGATGCTCTTAATAGAGGCAGTCCATTTCTCTGTATGCTGGCCTGGATAGATGTTCGAACACTGCAGCAGTGAGCAAACACGCTCAGGTTTGCCCACACGGCTCAGTCCCAGCTGTTTGTGCCTGTTCTTGCAACAATCTGCAGGAGTTAGTAATGAACCCAACCCTTGTGCGTCTGTGCTTTCATTTTTTTATTGATATTTTTTCTCTGTGTGTGTATTTGTCGTCATGCCTCAGATGTTCGACTGGATCATGCACAACAAGGGTTTGTTCCTGGCAGGCTACACAGAGATCGGCAACAACCACCCCCATGCTGTGGAGCTGCAAACCCAGCACAGCCACTTCGCCATGAACTGCATGGTGAGACACACACTGATTCGCAGCAGGAGATAATGCTTTTCTTCCCACTTGGACTCAAGTCGGTGCCCTACACTGTATAATAATATAGTTATTGCACTTAGTGTCAAGCTCTACTGCTGGGTTTGAGTGTTTGTTTAGAGCAGCCTGCGCTTCCGTGCACTTGCACATTTTCTCCATGTTAGGAGCAACACAACCAGGTATTAAGTAATCCTATTCTCTATCCACAGTCCGCCTTACATAACCATTATGAAACTGCTGAGACGAGGAATCAATCCAGCCGCTGAGGGTTTCTGCTCACGGATGAGAAAGAAACAGTAGCAGACCAATAGTGTCTTTTACTTAAGCTCCTCAGTTTGCCATTTTCTCTGGCCTATTCACTTATTAAACGATGATGTATTAACTGTGTTTCCAGGTGTAAGGCACTTTCTTTTGTCTTTTTTTGCATATGGAAAAAAATACTTTTTTTAAACAAAAAAACTATTTATTGGTATTTCAGAAATAAAAACACAAAAATATGTGCAATATTTTCTGGGTAATGTGCAGCCGTGTGACCTAATACCGATGTTATAATGTAAATTGAGTAATCGTGGAAGCTTTACCTTAAAAATATACCTGAGTACCTGAAGTAAACATGCTCAATGTGCAGAACGACCCATTCTCACAATAATATACCGCTTTAAACCTTCTTTTGGTTCCTCCTCTCAGTTCCTCTCTCGTCTGCACGTACCTGTGGCCTCGGATGTTAGACCAAGTTTTTGCTTCTTTATGAATTAGTGATTGAAAATATTCTGCCATTTCGCGCCTTTCTTCCTCATCGTCCTGTACAGAATGTGTACGTCAACATCAACCGGATCATGTCCGTGGGGAACCGGCTGCTGGAGTCGGGTCACTACGCTTCCCAGCAGATCAAGCAGATCTCAAGTCAGTTGGAGCAGGAGTGGAAGGCGTTCGCCGCCGCATTGGATGAACGTAGCACGCTGTTAGAGATGTCAGCCGGTTTCCATCAGAAATGTGACCAGGTGAGTGTGACGGTTTGGTAAATGGCAAGAAATGTTCATGGACTGAATCTGTTAGAATTTATCGTTTGAGCCTTTAATGTTGTGATTTGAAAAATGCTGGACTCATGCTTTAATTGTTTTCTTTATAAATGAATGGAAATGTCAAAAAAGAATAGACCCTGTACCCTCACTTTAGTAATTAAGCTCAACCCTATCAATTTTTAGCTCTTATGATAAGTAGCTTGTTTCTCAAAAGTCTTAACTAGTCCTTGAACACTGGTTCAGTGGGAACCAATCGGTAAACCTCGTGCTGATGTGCTGTTCAGGTAGCCGAGGTGTTGACCTTTTGTAATGAATGCAAATGAATACACACGTGCACACTTTTTGGATTGTAAAGTACCCATTTGGCTTAATTGAATAAACTCTAGCATGGCCTTAAAAAGTACACAAGCAGAATAACAGCCAGGGAACATGGGCGGTGCGACTTTTCCGACCTGGAATGCTGCCGTCATCAGACCAGCCTTTCATGTTTGTAAGATGAAATAGAAAAGGGCATTTTGTTCCCAGAGGTTTTTCCACTCCACACATACATGAAGAGAACAAAGACTTAAAACAAGCTTCTCTTCTGTATGTGATTCCAATTATGATGTGAGAGGTGTTTAAAAGGCAAATCATTAAGATGGAGATATTTCTCAGAGGTCAGTCTTAATGATTGTTATGTTTTCCCCCATCACTCCTACAGGGGGGTACAGGAAGCTTCTAGGAAGTCACCACAGGCCAATGAACAGCAGGTTCAGCTATAGATAATTCTTCTAATAGATCTCATGGGCAAAAGATGATTTCTGCAGGTTTACACCCAGGCGATGTCTTTCTATGCTCTGCTGTTTCTGACCCCTGGGAAGAGCGCACAGATGTATAAACCACCAGTGTGTCATGTGAACTATGCTTCTCCTCTCGCTGCAGTACATGAGTAATGTGGACTCCTGGTGTAAGGCATGTGGCGAGGTGGACTTGCCTTCAGAGTTACAAGACCTCGAAGATGCCATCCACCATCACCAAGGCCTGTACGAGCACATCACAGCTGCTTACTCGGAGGCAAGTTCACACACACGATGGAGTTAGTCTGCTGTCCAGAGGGCAGGATTAGCTTTAGTGGCATTTATCTTTCCGATTCACGTCGAGTTCAAAACATTTTCTAACCTCAGGTGAGTCAAGATGGCAAAGCTCTGCTGGACAAGCTGCAGCGGCCTTTGACCCCAGGCAGTGCCGATTCACTGACGGCAACGGCAAACTACTCTAAGGCGGTGCACCACGTCCTGGACATCATCCACGAGGTGCTGCATCACCAGAGACAGCTGGAAAACATCTGGCAGCACCGTAAAGTGCGTCTGCACCAGCGCCTGCAGCTCTGCGTGTTTCAGCAGGACGTCCAGCAGGTACGCACACGTTTCCAGTTTACTGCGTGTATTTTTGTTTATACCTTCATGCATGCGCGCATTTGTTCGAGCACACTGCAATTCCAAGGACCGAGCTTAATTGCCAGGGTTAGACATTAATTTGAAAATAGCAGGCTAGGCTTATGGCTAGATGAATACTACACTTAATAGAGGGTTTGATTGCAACCGCAGGCATGTTTCCTATCGACATGTCCTTGAGTTATTTGCTGGAACGATGCACGTTCAGTCCTCACATGTCGCTGTGGATACGAGCACTGGATGAAGGCCTGAAATAAAAAGGCTTTCTGCAGAATAAAAGCTTGCATACTGTAATCAAATGGTCCCAACATGACAATACCGCTGCACACTGTCCAAAAATCATAGGCATTCCTCAGTGTGTTGACATGGCAACTATTGCTATGGCAACTGAATTGGGTCATATGGCCATGCAGATGCTGTTCATCCTAAGAAGGACAAAGTGCACAGAGGGGAGTGTGCAAAGAAAGACTCCGTGCTGTGGCTCCTGTTAACCGCGCTCATGGTTATTTCTGCCATTCCTTTGCACTCATGTACAGGTTTTATCATTAACACTTGTGGCAGTAATACCACGTCAGAGCGCCCCCTTGTGGTGTAATACGTTTCACAGTGGGTAATGTGGTCTTTGCACAGGTTTTGGACTGGATAGAAAACCATGGCGAGGCCTTCCTCAGCAAACACACAGGGGTGGGAAAGTCTCTCCACCGAGCCAGAGCTCTCCAGAAACGCCATGAAGACTTTGAGGAAGTGGCACAGGTAGCTTGATTCCTGGCCTTTTGTCAGGTTTAAACCAGTGCACCAGTCACTGCATTGCTGGTGTTTGTATTGTTTCTGTGTGCTGTTTTTCTTCTTCTTTTGCCACTGTAATGTCTTCTACTGTGTTGTGTCTCCATGTTATTATATTCATTTACAATCTTTGGGCATTTCACTATTAGTGAAAGACACTCTGACTCATTGGGGGGAAAATGGAAAAACAGTAAAGGTGCAGTGAGGGTTAGCAAATCTCGGCTATGCTAAAGCTTATTAGCTTTAATTTGTTAATGTAAAATATTAGCTATTCAAGCTAGCAGAGATACTTTAGTTTTTGTTTATAAAGACTTAGTTTCTAGGTTTTATTGTTTGACATTGTTGGTTTTATTAGTTTCAGTGTTAGCTTAACTCTATTTTCTAAATAGTTTTTATGAACAGTATTTGTCCCGAGTAAAAGTTAATGCATTCCCAGCATTTTGTGAAGGTATTTGGCCAAGGTCAGGTTCTTGCCTTGATTTTAGTTGATTAAAATAATTTTACAAACTAGATAAGCTCTTAGTAGGTTTTTAACAATTTCACCCAAAGTAATGTGTAGACACCTGCTGCACACACAGACTTGCATCTGCATGTGCAGCTGTTTGCAGTAAAAATGTCTTTTAATGCCAGCTTACCCCGTGACTCTTCAGTTTGGGTTATACTGCCATATATGGTTGAGATGTTGTATTAACTGTACTGGTTTTTATTTTTATTTTTTTATCTGTTTATATAAACACTAAGAAGTGGAGTGCACCTGCTACATCTGTGTTCCTACTCTTTGCTTGCATATATTTATCTAACACCTTCAGTTACTGCATACTATGTTTATACAGCAAGCATGTAAAATGTAAAATATTACTTGCATATACTTAAAAATACTATGTTTTGCATTTGTTACAGCTGTAATCCTTTTATATTTCCACACTAGTAGTGTAGAATACTCCGACAGCCTCATTAACTTTAACCAAAAAATATCAACAACTTGTTGATGTCCCACCGTAACACAGCCATTTGTTTCCGTTTGCTTCTGCACCTTTCTTTGTATATCCCCTTCACCCGCTGTCTGTATGTTTCCTTTCACTACCTATTTCTGTGAAGCTCTGCTGTCACTGATTTAATCAGTATACACGTCTTCATATCCTGTTTTTTATTTTTGTCTCTGCCTGTACGATCTCTCTCTCTCTCTCTCTGCCCATCTTCGAACTGCATTGCGCTTGTTTTACACTGCCTTCTTCAGCTAATCCGTCTCCCCCTTTACCTCCGGCCTCGGTGTAGAATACGTACACCAATGCAGACAAGCTGCTGGAGGCGGCCGAGCAGCTGGCCCAGACAGGAGAGTGCGACCCAGAGGAGATCTACCAGGCCGCCCACCAGCTCGAAGACAGGATCCAAGACTTTGTTCGCCGCGTGGAGCAGCGCAAAGTCCTGCTGGACATGTCTGTCGCCTTCCACACGCACGTCAAAGAGGTGGGCAGGAGGGATGACATAACGTTGAAGTGGATGGTGGGCTGCGTGTGTGTGTGGTTGAGAGCTTTCACAGGGCTCTCTGAGCAAGAGGGAAATAATTACCATGTGAAATGTTTATATTTTGTGTTTAATGGACTTAGTCAGAGAGCAATTAACATTGTTCAAACTGGTGAGAGGACTCGGTCAGTAACTATACTGTCCTCCCTTTAGGTTCTGATAATCGCCATTTGTAATACAGAAAAAGGTGATTAATGTATGCCGGATCCTGTCCTGTGGTCAGGGTGAGAACACGAGTGTTAACAAAAAAGAGGTGTCACACAGGCTCATGTATATGCAGTGTATGAGACTTACCAGAAACCCAGTGGATAAACCATTAGACTAGTTTACCTGCAATCAAACTGAATAAGATTTCTAAAAAATCTGACCCTTCTTCTAGTTGTGGACATGGCTGGAGGAGCTCCAGAAGGAGCTGCTGGACGACGTTTATGCCGAGTCTGTGGAGGCCGTCCAGGATCTGATCAAGCGCTTCGGCCAGCAGCAGCAGACCACGCTGCAGGTCACCGTCAACGTCATCAAGGAGGGAGAGGACCTCATCCAGCAGCTCAGGTAGTGCAAATGAGATTGTATTTCGAGTATGGACTCTCAAAACAAAGATGTTCTGATGCAAAAGTAATGCAATCCAACCGATCCTTAAAATCCGTTCAGCTACTAGTAACAGATAATGGTGCACATGTTCTGCCCACGTATATGCAGGGATATTAAAACGTGTCAAGACAAGGAGGGAAGAAAAAACTCATGTCTCCTTATGTAATAGTACTCTTCCCGTGTCTCTCTCAGTTGTAGTTTTGGCAGGTTAATTTAACCGGGGATGAGTTTGGAATTCAAATTTGTGGCGAAAGCGCAAAATATTCAATATGTGTCATTTTGAAGACGTTAATGGCAGTGCGTGAAAAGCGACAAAGCTGAGAGGCAAGGAGGAGGTGTTGGAGAAGAGGATTCAGTTGACCCTCATTATCCAGCTTTATTTTTATGCAGAGGACGTTCCAGTCCCCCCCCCAGTTTTTTTCCTCTTTCTTTCTCTCTTTGCTCGCTCTCCACGGTGTATTGGCTCCACGGTGAAGTCTTACATAACACTGCTTTTAAAAATGCGTGTCCAATGGTGTGACACTCTCCCCAGGAGGCAACTGTAACTCCACACACCTTCTGCTAACGAGTGTGCGCAGGACTAGGAGTGCACCCGCTGCACAGATTAACCAATGCGATCGGCCAATCAGAACACACCTGACCTCCGATTCTTTGCTTGCTCATATTTAGCCTCCCCAAAACTGTTGTTTGCATGTTTGTGGATCATACGTGTATCTGTGAGACTGATGAGTCAGAATCTGTATGAGCTGCTTCATTTTCTCTCTCTCTTCTTAAACAAAAATATATGCATCTTTGCAGACCCCGTTGCCCACGCGACATGTGCGCTTCGGAGTGATTTAGGCCGTTTTAATTTTTTATAAATTTGAACGATTGGCATCTGGTTGAGAGTGAGAGCTGTGAAAGGCTGGGACTGGGTCCACAGTTGCCACTAATTTGTATTTATTAATTAATTCACCTCTTGTAATAAATACGTATTCATTATTATTTTTTCTAGCTCTAAAATCCCTGAAAATATGCAATAGTCCTTCTCTTTAAAAAGAGATGAGGAGCTTCTGTAATTTTGTGGAACCAGCTCCCAGTTTGGGATCGGGACACAGATGCTGTCTGTGCTTTTCAGGTGAGACTAACCCCCCCAAGTTACACTGTAATAGTTCTAGGCTGCTGGGGGCTTCCCATGATCCAGTTTCACTCTCAATGTGTTCAGACACCTCTAATCTCTCTTTTGTCCCGTCTCCCTCCCCCCACTCTCAACCAGTCACGGCTCTGATTGTGGTTTTGGTTCTGCCGGATTTTTCTTCCTGTTAAACGGGAGTTTTTCCTTTCCACTGTTGCCAAGTGCTTGCTCACAGAGGGTCGTCTGATTTGTTTATTCAATTTAATATTCACATTAACACTTCTGTGCAGGTTTAATGTTTTGTCTTACTTTATGAAGATCCCAGCTCGATGGCTTAAATGCACGACTTCAGTTTTCCTTTGTGGTGAAACAGTAAAATATATGTTGCTATTTTGGCTCCAGTGCTGTGTTATGGACTAGAAATCTTTCTCATTAAGTAATGAAATCCATTTAAGACTGCTGACAGGCTGCGGGATTTCAAACACTCAATATATTGTCACAAAAATGAAGGACAGAGGGAGTCTGTCACGATGCTGGGTGCTCCTATTAAACATGCCCACAGTTTTAATATGTGCATTGAATATGTAATTCCCCAAATACAGCATCTCAGTTTCTTCTGCTCTGTGTGGTGTAAGTGAGCGGACATCCCAAATATTGTCCCCTTACAAACATAACTGGCACAGAAGTCTCACTCGGGAGTCATTCAACCCTCCTGTTTAAGAGGGACAGCCAATCAGAAGAAGGAAAACATAAAGGGGCGGCTGCTTGTGATTTGGCTGAACCAAATCCTGATATAAGACAGTATATCGGCACAATGGCTCTCCCTGTTGTGCTGCGGTGTGCCTTTAAAGCTGCTCTGCGTCCCTTGTTTTTATGGTCAGCACTTCATCACATGGTTTAATAGCCGTTTGTGCATTTGTGTTGCAGGGACTCCGCCATCTCCAGCAACAAGACGCCCCACAACAGCTCCATCAACCACATCGAGAGCGTCCTCCAGCAGCTGGATGAAGCCCAGGCACAGATGGAGGAGCTCTTCCAGGAGAGGAAGATCAAACTGGAGCTCTTCCTGCAGCTCCGCATCTTTGAGAGGGATGCCATTGATGTGAGTCCTCATAGGTGGATTTGTTTCCACAGGAAGCTGTTTATACGAAAGAAACTCTCAGTTCAGCCTCACTCACTGCACTTTTAGCTGTAAATGGTTCAGCTACAACTGATCAGTGTCACTTCTCTCTCATCAGACATTTGAATACCTCCCCTGTACCCTTAATTACAAATTATTGACTATTCTAATGATCGTTAGAATAGTTTGTGTATTTTTTCCAAGGTTAGACTAGCTTTGCTAACTGCTGATGCAAACCCAGTCATTTTATTTGAGAAGCAAGGTCTGAAATGTGACACAAACTGCTCCGTTCATAAAAGAGCGTCAGTGCGTACTCCTAGTAGGCTTTCAAGAGGTAAACATTCAAAGAAAGGGGAGGAAATTAGGACATCAAACACTGTCAAGACGGGTGGAGGAGAACTGAACTGTTCTCAGTGACAGCCCAGTTATCTGCCATTATAAGAATGTTTAAACAGTCTTAAGCAAACTGTAGAGACCTGATGTCCACAAAGAAGGAATGCAGAAGCACTAGAAACCGTTTTTTGTAGCTAAGCAACAATAATCCCTCGATAGCTCTGAAAATGAGGTCACGGGTGCTTCAAGTACAAAGACGGTTGTGTGTGGACACAGAATCGAACAGCTTGTGCTTCTGTATAATGTATAAGTGAAAATGTGCTGTTCACACGTTTAAATGCAAAAGTATTTTTCATTTAGAATTAATGATATTGGAAGAATAATGCGTGTAATTTGTATGAAAAACATCTACCCACGCAGCATTGTGCCTTAGTGCAGCAATCTCACAGACTCGTGACTCACTAAAGCTACTCTATACTACGCTTCCTTTAAATTCAATCTCTTCCCTCCTCAGATCATCTCTGACCTGGAGTCATGGAACGAGGAGCTGACAGGTCAGATGAATGACTTTGACACGGAGGACCTGACGCTGGCCGAGCAGAGGCTCCAGCACCACGCTGACAAGGCCTTGACCATGAACAACCTCACCTTCGATGTGATCCACCAGGGCCAGGAGCTGCTGCAGTATGTCAACGAAGTCCAGGCCTCCGGTGAGTCCGCTCCTCAGACTCCATTATTTCTTTTAGACATTTTCTTATTACCAGTTCTTCATCTGCCCTTAAGTGCTGTAAAGTAAACCTGTGGAGGTGTTTGACTGTCGCCCGGTGGCCTCCCTCAGACCTCGGTCATCTTCCATCTGAGGGTGTAGTCAGGATGTAGCTCATGTTGGCTGCTGCTGCACAGATTTCTGTGTTGGCTACGTTAGTTTTAATATTGATGCTGTGTAGGTGTCGCGGGTCAGATTCAGTCAGCGTTTGTGATGAGAGGCACCCACTCACTAACCATAATAACTCACCTGTGATCTCACATGCTAATAGGTGCTCTGTAAAACGGCACAAGGAATGGTTGCGCCATGCCACGTGTATTAAACATGAGTTTGAATTGATGCACACGTGACTGATAATTAAGACTGTCGGGAAAGTTATTTGACTTGCTCCTCCACACCAAGTCTTATACGGTTACGTGTCTTCCATCCAGGTGTGGAGCTGCTGTGCGATCGGGATGTGGACATGGCCACACGGGTTCAGGACTTGCTGGAGTTTCTTCATGAAAAGCAGCAAGAGCTCGATTTAGCAGCTGAGCAGCACCGCAGACACCTGGAGCAGTGTGTCCAGCTGAGACACCTGCAGGCAGAAGTCAAGCAGGTAAAATGCCTGGTCACATACCTGCAGCAAGGCACCATCTGCAGGTTAAACAGGTTCAAACGCCAGAATACCAAGAAATCTGCAAGTTCTGTGAGGAAAAAGCTCTCTCTGTCTCTCTTACAGGTTCTGGGTTGGATTCGTAATGGCGAGTCGATGCTAAACGCTGGTCTGATAACAGCCAGCTCCCTGCAGGAAGCTGAGCAGCTGCAGAGGGAACACGAACAATTTCAGCATGCTATTGAGGTAACAGAGTTTGTGTTATCCCATCAGCCTGTTTGAAGCTGGATTTCTCCTCTTTGACTAACTGTAATCCTGATCTTTCCCCTTTCTGCAGAAAACACACCAGAGTGCCCTGCAGGTTCAGCAGAAAGCCGAGGCTCTGCTTCAGGCCAACCACTACGACATGGACCTGATCAGAGACTGTGCCGAGAGCGTGGCTTCACACTGGCAACAGCTCATGCTGAAGATGGAGGACCGACTCAAGCTTGTCAATGCCTCTGTCGCCTTCTACAAGACCTCTGAACAGGTATGAGAGAAGAGTTAGCTTTACCGTCTCCTCGACAGTCCACACAAACACAACTGACTGCACGTTTCTCTCAACAGGTGTGCAGCGTGTTGGAGAGCTTGGAGCAAGAGTACAAGAGAGAGGAGGACTGGTGTGGAGGAGCTGACAAACTGGGACCCAACTGTGAAACAGACCACGTCACCCCCATGATCAGCAAGCACCTGGAGCAGAAGGAGGCCTTCCTAAAAGTAACACACACACTCCCACACACACAGAGAATGAGTCAGAATCAGAGCGGAGCAAAGCTTTAACTCACACTTCTGATCTTACTGTGCGTGTTTTACGTTTTAATTAGGCGTGCACGCTGGCAAGGAGAAATGCGGATGTCTTCCTCAAGTACATGCACAGGAACAGTGTTAACATGCCCGGGATGCTGAGCCACGTCAAAGCACCAGAACAGCAGGTCAAAAGTGAGTATAAGAAGACACGTTTAACATCATGCAGACTTTCTAATCAACAGCCTCGTTAGCCCTCGTTTTGATAAAGTCCAGCAAAAGTTTGTTTTAGCTTTCATTTGAATTGCGTAAGACATGAGATGCACACCAACTGTGCGCTCACTTCTCGCATTGACACTAAAAGAAAATGAATGTTTCCCCTGCAGTTGAAGTGGAGGCACTAAAACACCATAAACAGACAAATTTGAACTAACAGAGATTTAAACTGTGTGCTCGTTTGAGCCGTTGATGCATCGTGGGAGGTTGCTGCAGAGACGTTGTACTTATTTGATTTGATTCCAGACCTCTGCTTCTACACTGAGCACTGAGATCACTGGAGCCAGTTCACAGTTGAGCAGCTGTACTAGATTCACTTTAGGGGTAAAAGTACTAAATAAAAGCAACTAAATACAAGAACACCACTGTGATGTTGTAGTAGGATGGCACTGTTGCAACAAGTCACAGAGCGATGTCGCCGAGCGCATAATCGTCACGAGCTCTCTGCTGACAAAAACAGTGCTGCGCAGCTCCTGTAGATGTGACGCTGTAATAGGATGGCACCGTGGTGGGAAGATTCTACAGTTTATGTTTAATGTTCGGTTCTGAAAGAGATCGATCGACGGTGCTGCCTGCACCTTTGTTGATATTGTTACATGTGAATTATTTAATGTTATAGTAACTGTGAATGATTCACTCGTGCAGTCAGTCATCTGTCTGAAGACGGACCTCCTTCAGATTTTTCCACCATTGTTTAAAAAAAAAAAATTCTGTCAGTGGCAGAAAATAATCTGTTACATGGCTGCTGGTTCAGTCTGTGTTTGTTCCTCCATATTAGAATTAAGAAAAGTTCAGGATTAAGAACAGTAAACAAACAGAAACAGTTTAATTCACTCTAGAAACGAACTGAAACTAAACCGAATTGAAAAAAAATATTAAAAAGTATTCAAATGAAAAAACATCTAAGAAAATATAGGAACTCAAACATGATGGAGTCAAACACTCTGAAAGACTCCGATAACCGGTAAATGATCAAAACCACTGGCTCCTAACGTTTGAAGTAGGAGCACAGTGTAAGTAAAGATTACTTACAAACATGTTTGGAACACCGCCGGTGGTGCTGGGAAAACCTGACCGTGCAGCAGAGCTGTGGTGACGAACACTGAGCCAAATCATAGCGAGGGGAGTTTGAGCAAAATGGTTCTTACACTTTGCACTGTGGCTGCAGGACGGTTCTTACCTTTTGGCTTAAATCTCTTTCTCCCTGTTTTGCGTGTAGACATCCTTAATGAGCTACTGCAAAGAGAGAACCGCGTTCTCCACTTCTGGACGATGAAGAAACGCAGGCTGGATCAATGCCAGCAGTACGTGGTGTTTGAACGGAGTGCCAAACAGGTACGCAAAGCGCACGCTGCAATTTTACAGCGACACATCTACACACTCTACTTATGACAAACATCCTCTGTGTGTTTTAAAGGCTCTGGAGTGGATTCACGACACCGGGGAGTTTTACCTGTCCACACACACATCCACAGGCTCGAGTATCCATCACACGCAGGAGCTGCTGAAGGAACATGAGGAATTCCACATCACAGCCAAGGTTGGGCTCGCGAACGTGCGCACAGAAACCTTGTGTTGATCTTTGCATGCATGTGCGTCAGGACCACATTGGCTCTGTTTCTCTCCTTCTTAGCAAACTAAGGAGCGCGTTAAGCTGCTGATCCAGCTGGCCGATGGTTTCTGCGAGAAAGGCCACAGTCATGCAGGGGAGATCAAAAAATGGGTGACAGCTGTGGACAAGCGCTATCGAGACTTTTCGCTGCGCATGGACAAGTACCGCTGCAGTCTTGAGAAAGCTCTGGGCATCTCCTCCGACTCCAACAAGGCGGTGAGTGCTCAGGTTTTTTGCTAGGCAGCTGCTCGCTCTGTACCCCGAAACCTAAACTTTCACTTTGCTTCTCTCCGTGTCAGAGCAAGGATCTCCAGTTGGACATCATCCCAGCCACGGCTCCAGGGTCAGAGGTCAAGCTGAGGGATGCTGCCGCCCATGAGCTGAATGAGGAGAAACGCAAATCTGCACGCAGAAAGGAGTATGTTACCTCCTGCTTTATAATATCAGAAAAACAGAAAAATTAATAGATGAAGAATAATTCTTATTTAGCAAATTGGCAAGTGCTCCAGGTTATACCTGAAGAATTGTTTAGCTAGTAGTTAAAAGCTCCTCGTGTGAACCGTCTTTGTTGTACGTCAGCAACATTTTTTCCCACTTGTTGAAAAATGTTTTATTACCGCAAAGCACTCCGAGTTAACAGACTATGAGCAGGTTACCTGCCAGTGTCCCTGTCCACAGCAGTGTCAGCACTGAACCTGGTCAATAGCTGGAAGAGGAGCTCAGTGTAAATGTATATACATAATGAACCTGCTTGATTTACGCTCCTCCGTCCGGCCTCCTCTCTGCTGTGCCAGCACAAAAACTGCAGACTGAACCATCGAGCTGTGGCTCAGAACAAATGAGTGGACGGACACAGTCCAGGAAAAAGCGCCTGCATCATTTTTATATGAGCGGCACAAATCACAAGCATGATTTCCGTCATTCATGGCTTGCTTTATGACCACGTCTTATGGCCCATAAGTCATCGTTCATTAATGTAAATGGTTGAAGTCGACAGGCTGAAAGGGAGCTGCTGATTTATCACCGCGTGAACAAGGATGATATGAAAATTGCTAATTTGTGTCGCTGTGTGTTTTGTGTGTGTTCAGGTTCATCATGGCAGAGCTGATTCAGACAGAGAAAGCCTACGTGCGAGACCTGCGGGAGTGCATGGATGTAAGTTCAACTTGTCAACCCACCACTGTTAACCTGCTTAGTGCAGAGTTGTGCAACAACTTTTCAACTAAATTTAAAAGTCTTGCAGAATCCTACTATGAAAAATAAAACCATTATTATTCTTATAGTTATGATCTCCTCTTTCCTCCATTGCAGACCTACCTGTGGGAGATGACCAGTGGAGTGGAGGAGATTCCTCCAGGGATCCTCAACAAGGAGCACATCATCTTTGGAAACATGCAAGACCTTTATGAATTCCACCATAAGTAAGAAATGTGTCCTCCTTCCACTATTTTTCATTTTTAGAGAAAGCTCTAATCTTTTCTTCTGGTATCTCATGGTTCTGTCTCTCTTTCTTTTTTTCTTTCAATCAGCATCTTCCTCAAAGAGTTGGAGAAATATGAGCAGCTACCAGAGGATGTTGGGCATTGCTTCGTCACATGGGTATGTATTATTGTCTTACAGAGAAATGTATTTTGTACTGTGTACGTGTGCATTTAGATTTCTAAGTAATGCATATCTTTTTTCTACTCCTGGCTCAGTATGATGTCATGTCAGGAACATAGCTCTGGCTGTTAGCACAGAAGCCCCACCCACCTGCTCTTCTAACCTTTTGTTTACAAGGAGTAGCCAATCAAAAGAAGGCTGGCTTAAAGCAAAAAGCGAAAGGCTTGTTTCAGAAAGAGAAACATAAATTAAGGTTATTTTGAACAGTGGCTCTGCAGACATATTCCCAGCAGTGTCCATAAATTTAAAAAATGGAGCTGGAAATGAGCATCAATGGTCCCTTTAATATTTCTGGAAGTAAGAAAAATGGTTCATAAGCTGAGACCTGATGGGTATTAATTTTTCATTGTCATCTGTTTCTTTCTTGGTCAAGGCTGATAAGTTCCAGATGTATGTGAACTACTGTAAGAACAAGCCGGACTCCACCCAGCTCATACTGGAGCATGCTGGCAACTACTTTGATGTGAGTACCACCTTTGATCACTGAGATGAGACTGAATGTCAGTCACGTACAGTCACCTCACTGTTCTCCTCTGTTAATGGCAGGAAATTCAACAGAGGCACCGACTGGCCAACTCCATCTCATCCTATCTGATCAAGCCAGTGCAGAGAATCACCAAGTATCAGCTCCTGCTGAAGGTAAGCCACCACAGCGAAAAAAACAACAAGATGCTTGTATTGAGCATCTCCATGGTTCCTGTTGTCATGGTTTCTGTGCCCGCGTCCTGTTTAGGAGTTGTTGACGTGCTGCGAAGAAGGTAAAGGAGAGATCAAGGACGGCCTGGAGGTGATGCTCAGTGTTCCCAAGAAAGCCAACGATGCCATGCACCTCTCAATGCTGGAAGGTCAGACATTGATCACGTATTTGTACTATTAGCTATAATTTCACAGCAAACCTCTGTGTGTTTATTCTTTAATGATTTTTCATCAAGTCATCCTCTGGCCTTTTTCTCCAGGTTTTGATGAAAACATCGAGTCGCAGGGTGAGCTCATTCTCCAGGATTCATTCCAGGTCTGGGATCCAAAGACTCTGATCCGAAAGGGACGAGAGCGCCACCTCTTCCTCTTTGAGATGTCTCTTGTTTTCAGCAAGGAGGTCAAAGACTCAAATGGCCGGAGCAAATACATCTATAAGAGCAAACTCTTTGTAAGTACACGATGATGAAATCAGGAGCATTTTTGTGATTATGGAAACCTCAGAACTTTACACAGTTACAAAAATTAAAATCATTTGACAGTCGCACAGTAAAGTTGACGTTTTCTCATATTACTCTTCCTCGCAGACATCAGAGTTAGGGGTGACTGAACACGTTGAAGGAGACCCCTGTAAGTTTGCTCTATGGGTGGGACGCACCCCGACCTCTGACAACAAGATTGTACTCAAGGTAAAACACTCCTCCTCCTCCTCCTCCTCCTCCTCCTTGCTTCGCAGACTCCTCCTCCTCTTGGGTTGGACCAATATAGCTTCCTGAAGCAAATCTGATGAGTAATTTGGACCAAAAGTCTCGATAAAGTCCAAATACTAGCATTGAAAATACGTGAATCTTCCATGTGAGTGTGCTGAAAGCATAAATATCGGTCTAACCCAGTTTCCTCTCCACATTCAGACCTTTTCTATTCTTCTTCTTCTCTCTACTGTCCTCTCTTCTGTCCCGTTTAAATGCATGAGCAGCTTCAGGGTGGCTGAGAAGCTTTCTGTAGTCACTCTTCTGTCTCCTCCTTCCTTCTCGTCTTCCAGCCTGGTTAGATTTCTGCTTTTGTTCCATCTGTTAACAAAACACGGCACACATGTGTATATCTGGGGCTGTGTTTTCTGTGGATGTTTGTATCTCTAATTCTCTATGTGGGCCGACATGCTTCCACCAACGCTGGTGATGCTGATTCAGCCCCTGAACGCCCACAATCGCCCAGCCTGACTCGCTGCTGCTTTATCAAAGCAGCGACTTAGCTATCCTTCTCTACCACAAAATATATATTTTAATAATGATTTACAGCCACTGTTGAAGTTTTTAATTAATTTTTCTAAATATCGTATCACCCATGTTAAGACTTCTTCCTGCTGAGTAGTGTCACAGATGGATTAAAACTTGTCAGCTGTTGGACCAGCATGAAGCCAGAGTCCTAGCACGTTCAGTACTGAGCATTTCAACATAAATACACACCGACTCCCAGACTAACCACTGAGAAGCAGTCATGTGTTATGTGTATTGTAAATTAGGTGTGCCTTGTTACTAACCACACACACACACACACACACACACACACACACACACACACACACACACACACACACACACACACTATCCATTACTATTCACTAGGCATTTTATTGGCCTTCATTATACTGTCAAACCAAAATGTCAGTGTTGTGCACTTCTATCATTTCAAATCATTCTGTCAGCTTGTAAAATGTCCTGTACACCTTCTAAAAGCAAACCAGTGAAATTCCCTTTTTTATATTTTAAATTCAAAGCTAAGTCAGGGATCCAAACATGGAGCCATGGTGAGTACAAACAATCCCACAACACAGCCCTCCACCATTTTTCAAAAGTCTTAAAGTTAGCTTAGTGTAATGGGTTAAAGCAGCATATTTGAGCTTTAGCATCAAGCCGCTGTAACCTTAGCAATATCACATCTTCAGACCTGAAAGGTACAAAATAATCAATAACGGTGATTCCCAAATGAGGGTAGTAAAGTAAACCTAAACACTGACTGTTCACTGTTCATGTTTGTATGACTAATACATTAAGTAACATCCACTTTAACTCAGATTATTCAGATGGTGGGTGGTGTTGAGGAAGTGGTTCTTCATCTCTGAGAGCTGTTGCAGTGGCTGTACAAAATAAATGCAGGGAAGCCACTGTGTTAGGCATTTACAGGCAGAGAGAACCTGAGTAAAATGTATATGTGAAATAAAGGCTTTGTAACGTATTAAGAGATCAGATATGTGTGAATCAAGAATTCAAATTGAGGATTTTTTGACAAGCTTTGCCTTCTTGACAATGATTGACTGCCGATAACAGGCATCCAGCATTGAGAACAAGCAAGACTGGATCAAACACATCAGAGAGGTGATCCAAGAGCGCACCATTCACCTGAGAGGAGCACTTAAAGAACCCATTCATATTCCCAAAACAGCCACCACCAAGCACCACAAGGGACGAAGGTAAACACAGCTCTAAATGGGGATTAATCTATGAACAGGAAGTTTATCTCACTGTTTTTATACAAGAAGGGAAGAAACCTTTTATTGATCGTGTGTGCTCCCGCTAGGGATGGAGAGGACCTGGACAGTCAGGGTGAAGGCAGCAGCCAACCAGACACAATCTCTCTGGCATCACGCACCTCTCAGAACACACTGGACAGCGACAAGGTGAGAACATACACACAGAGCTCAGAAATGATGCCCAGACCTTCTGCAATTATGAGCTTTAAAAACAAATGTCATCTGGAGCAAAGGTCTCAGTGATGATCTCGTCTTCCACAGCTCTCCGGCGGCTGTGAGCTGACTGTGGTCATACACGACTTTATGGCCAGCAACAGCAACGAGCTGACGGTGCGGCGGGGTCAGACTGTGGAGGTCCTGGAGCGCTGTCACGACAAACCAGACTGGTGCCTGGTCAGGACCACAGACCGCTCTCCTGCCCAGGAGGGCCTGGTGCCCTGCTCTATGCTCTGCATCGCCCATTCCAGGTCCTCCATGGAGATGGAAGGCATCTTCAATCACAAAGGTACAAAAATGTAACCTAATTTGCTTCACTGGCAAAAAGTCACTGATATGATGAAGTGTAGAAAATCCAAGCTTGCATCCATGTTGCCATGGAAACACTCATATTTCTGAAGGCACCGTTAATGCTGAATAACTATATACTGTTTTGGGGACAGATGCTGCTATCTAGCTTGTGCTGATGATTATGATGATGATTTCAGAGAAGAACTGTCTTATTAACCATGCACTGCACATATTACACACATTGGCTCTGCAGTAAAGGGTCTGGGACGCAGGCTGGTTAGCAGCTGAAATCCTGGCCTTTTCTAAGCATTTCACTTAGAAAGCTGCAACATTTGGTCTCCTCAGTGTCCAGATGTTTTTGGAACATATTGCTGGCATCATATTCAAAATCAGATGATGTTCTTCCACTAAAATGAATTTTCTCGGCCTTCACATTCTGATTTGCCATCTACAAAAATTAATAATATTTAAAAAATATGCTTTAACTTTACAGATGACTGTATTGTTTCTTGTCTTTTTTGAGTACAGCTGTTGTTTTTGGTCTCATTTCTGGAATTGGCATCACAGGGCTTGTTTTCACTTACAGCTCTGTATTTCACAGACACACTGTCAGTGTGCAGCAATGACTCCATCATGCCAGGTTCCTCTGCTACGCTGCAGCCTGGTCACGGCATCGGCTCCCACACCTCCCCGGGGCCTAAACGACCAGGTGAGATCGCCAACCTTTATTTGAAAGGCTTTGAAAAAAAATCTGTTTAAAAAAAGAGTTAAATTTCAAACTGAGGAACAAAGTGATGAAGCTGTCAACTGTAGTTGTAGATAAAATCCAGAGTTTTTAACTGTTCGCTGCAGTTCCGGTGAATTAACTTTAACCTGTGCTTTGTGCGTGTGTTTTGGTTTCTTAGGTAACACGCTACGGAAGTGGCTGACCAGCCCGGTGCGACGGCTAAGCAGCGGTAAGGCAGATGGCCACGTGAAGAAGCTGGCCCACAAGCACAAGAAGAGCCGTGAGGTGAGGAAGAGCGGAGAGATGACGATAGGCTCTCAGAAAGACTCGGACGACAGTGCTGCTACGCCTCAGGATGAAACTTTGGAGGAGGTGGGTGGATGCAGAACGCTTGACACTCCTCAAACCTGTTACAAGAGAGTTAAATGGTGCTTTGTCGTCCTCGTGTTTTGCAGAGGGTTCGTAACGAGGGCCTATCGAGCGGTACGCTGTCCAAGTCCAGTTCTTCGGGAATGCAGAGCTGCGGAGAGGAGGAGGGCGAGGAGGGTGCAGACTCAGTACCTCTGCCTCCACCTATGGCCATCCAGCAGCATAGCTTGCTGCAGCCAGACTCACAGGATGACAAGGTGAGGAGAGTTGGGGCGTTACAGCGGGGGACCGGGGACCAGATGTAATCAGCTCACATCATTCTTTAAGATTGTAGGTCAAGAAAGGGCATGAAGAATCGTGTTGTGAGGCTTGCTTTTTAGGATTGTGTTGATCTGGAAATTGCCAGCGTGCTTTGTGTTCTGAACTTCTGGTAGACAAACGGAGTCACACAGATTTTGTCTTCAGTATTTATAAGTGTTAGAAAGTGTTAAATTTATTATCCACAAAAATCTACCCCATTCAAAATTGGCTTGTTTTGCTGAAAATGATGAGATGCATATCTGAAGTCATCTCTAGCTGCCCACAGTGTTTTCTTTCAATAGAAGTGTGTCCTAAAGGTTTCTTAAATACATTTATTTAAGCGTCTTGAGGCGACTTATGTTGTGATTTGGCGCTATATAAATAAAATTGAATTGAATTGAATTGAATTGATCTAGTAAGTATTCATTTTAAATCTGCAACCAAATCAAACCCACATTTGGTCGCTTGCCGAGGCCGGGGGTTGGTGTAAGAGGTGGTGTAACATCTGCAGTCATTGGTTTCTGGAAAACACTTTCACTCATTTAAGTTTCTCCCACTTTTTCCCAAATAAGACCATTTCCTGACACGGTTTAAGTGACCCTTAGTTTCAGTTGTGCATAGCATTTTATCTTGGCGTGTTGCATCATATTCTCCCCTCTCTTCTAAAACAGAAAGCAATGCAAAGTCTCACGCAGCCCACGTTTCCTCCTCGACTCAAGTGGAGACTCCTCTGACACTAATTTCTGTTTCTCTTTTTTTGTTTTGTTTCCTGGTTGTATTGTTTGCTGTTTTCCATGCTGTAGCATTACCTTGATTTATGTCCTGTCTTTGCTTTGTCTCAGTTTCCATACCTCTCCATCTGAAGTGTCCCGCTCTTCCCCTTCTGTCTCTTCCCTCGGTCACTTCTTCAGTTCTCTATCGTTTTCCCCCTTACTCTTCAACTCAAAATTGTATTTTCTAAAACCTGAAACATGAAGATAGAAGCTTTTTTCTTTTTCCTTTTTTTGAAATCCACATTTCTCTGTCCCTCTGCCTAACTTTTGTATTTTTTGCAAACTCTTAAACATTCCTGGATTTCTCTACTTAAGATTTCCCCCTTTTTCTTCTTCTTCGTCTATGTTTTTTAAGCTTTACATGTTTTGACTTCTGCCTCGTTTCTTTGATCACACCTCTGGAGCAGAGAGGTGTCTGGCGGATGAGTAAGGGCTTTAAAGCAAAATGTACATAAGGAGAGGATGCATGTAGCTCCTAACTCTGTTTTCGTTAGTCTGTAAGCATAGCGCAAGACTGCAGCTTTTTTCTGCATGTTTGTCAGTTATAGGCTGGGATTGACCATAAAATTAGTGGATCTAAATCTGAAAATAAAGCAGTAAGATCCCCCAGCAGCCCCGCTGGATAATCTAACGAAGAGGCCACAATGAGGTGAAAATTCATAAGCACCCCTTCTTCCTCTCCCCCAACTCCTCACCACCCACTCCGTCCCCCGCCTGCTCGTCCTCATCTCCTTTTACCCTCTGTGCGTTAACCTCATTAACCATGCGAGTAATTGGCATCTCTAAATGCTGGCGAGGCCAGAAGGGCACACAGCATCACCCAGAAAACCTAATTGGGGAATGTCTTGAAGCACAGCACAGCAAGGGTGAGAGTCTCCTGAACTATATATATATATATATCTCTATATATGCATACTTACATATTACCTCTTTCATTCTAGCTCTGTTAGCATTCTTTTTTTTATTCCAAAGGCCGCTCATCACCATCTGAGAAAGCAACACAAACATCTTTCACTCACACATCACCATTTTTTTGACCTTCTGCCCATCACTATTTCAAAGACTTCTATTTTTCTTCTCTTATCTTCATTTCAGTCGCCCTACTTTCAGCCTCATGTTTTGTTTTTTTTACCTTTTCATTGGCCGCTTTATGAAGTTCATATACGTTTTGACTTTCTTTAACCTAGAGTTATAAAAACCCCGCCCCCTGTCCTGGGGGTTTCACTGATGGGAGCATATCGTGGATGAATCTCTTCAGATTGCAACATTTAACAAACATTTTCACTAAGTCATTGTTCGCATCAACAACTAAAATCCACTTAAATGCCACCACCAAAAGATAATTGAATCTTGTCTTCAAGTTATTCTCAATGAAAACTCCAGCATGGCTTTTAACTGTAAGCTCTTACAACTTACTTTAGGATTACGTTAGAAACAGACTTATTTCTGTTTCAGAAAGGATGGAAATTACTCCTAAAGTGTGATGAGGCTTGATTCAGTTCTGAAAAGTTTAGTGGTTCCTTTTTTCCCTAAAGAGAGTTATTACTTCAAAATTTAGACAGTCGACTTGCATGGCTTTTCTCACGCTTGTTGGTTTTCCTTCCTCTCATCTCTCTGCTTTTTGCCTAGACCTCTTCTCGTCTGTCGGTCCGCCCGTCCAGTTCAGAAACGCCCAGTGCCGCTGAGCTGGTGAGCGCCATCGAGGAGCTAGTCAAAAGCAAGATGGTAGGAAATACCAAATACTCACACCAACCAGGCCCAGTTTATCAGAAGATACCACAGACTGTATATAAAAGATGGACGTAGCAACCATGCTATTGCCAAATCCTTATTTTGACTGCCATCATGTGAATTTTCGGAGCCTGGAGTGAACATATTAAGACGAGAGGGTGGAGTGTTAAGCTAATACTAAGATAATGCTAGCAAGCTTAAATTGGCAAGTTGCTGAGTTTCACTCAGTAAAGCTGAAGTATAAACTTCTTGAACAAAGGTTGCATTGTTTGTCCAAAATTTGATTAAAATGTTCAAAAATACACCAACATTAAGAAAACAAAAGAAAGGAAACATGGTTTTGAGGTCCAGTTGAGTGACTCAGAGTAAAAGTGGTGAGGACAGATAGCTAGCAGCTATAGCTATAGCCCACATTAGCATAGCTGTCACTGAAAGTGTCCACATGCCCTAAACTTTAAAGAACAAAATCTAATTAGGTGAGTTTAAAAACAACAGTCCAGTGTTTACTAAGAGCAAAAGTAGCTTTAGAAACCATCTAGCAATCAAGTATGATGTAAATGAGTCTGCCTCAAGTGGCCATCAGAGGAACTGCAGGTTTTGGCATTAGACTTTTCCTTTGTTTTCCAGCTCCAGAAGTTTCTGCTTGATTCAATCGCATTAACTCTTTGTTAGCTTCATATCAGCTAAATTAAATATATTTTTCTGCATTTTCTGTTTATTAAGCTTAGTTGTGTCCATTTCAGAGTCATTAGGATTAAAAGACTTTATATAAAGGAAAGAAGGATTTCTTCTTGTGAACAAACTGCTTTTGTTGTGCAGGCTCTGGAGGACAGACCCAGCTCTCTGTCTGTAGAACAAGGAGACAGCAGCTCTCCCTCTTTCAACCCCTCTGACAACTCCCTCCTCTCCTCTTCCTCCCCCATTGAAGAAATGGACGAACGCAGGGCCAGCATCCTCAAAAAAAGACAGTACGTCTACTGCAATCTCACGCAACAGTAGACTAATGTTTAGGGAGCTCTAACGCTGCTTTTATAGCTCTCATTTTAAGTCTGCCATCTGTGTTTCTCCTCTCTTGCTCTAGTTTCATTCTGCTGGAGTTGGTGGAGACGGAGAGAGATTACGTCAGAGACCTCGGCCTGGTGGTGGAGGTAAGTTTAGTGAAACATTTTCTATGTGATGGATCTTAAAATGAGTTCTGCGAGCTTTGGCGACTTCCTGTTGTGAATCCTTCGTGTGTTTCCATCACAAGGGCTACATGAGCAGAATGAAGGAGGAGGGTGTCCCTGATGATATGAAGGGAAAAGACAAAATTGTGTTTGGCAACATCCATCAGATCTACGACTGGCACAAAGAGTATGTAGGGGAATGCACACACACACAGACGTGTGGAGACTGTAGAGTTTTCCCTGTCCAGAATCGGCGCTTCAGTAACTTCTGTTTCTGTGTCGCTCAGTTTCTTCCTCAGGGAGTTGGAGAAGTGTTTGGAGGACCCTGACAGACTGGGACCACTCTTTCTCAAACAGGTTGGTCTGCAGGGAATTTCCAGCTCCTGCCTTCTTTGTAATTGCTTCCACACATCTGATCAAAGTGTAATTGTGTGTGTGCTTTATCTATCCAGGAACGGAGACTAAACATGTACGTAGTGTACTGTCAGAACAAGCCCAAGTCAGAGCACATCGTGTCCGAGTATATCGACACCTACTTTGAGGTTAGACTCTGGTATTTTGGCAGCTTTAGGTTCAAGAGTAACTCATTATGCAGCTGTTAAAGAGACACATTTGATTTTGTAGGACCTGAAGCAGCGGCTGGGACACAGACTGCAGATCACAGACCTGCTCATCAAGCCAGTCCAGAGGATCATGAAGTACCAGCTGCTGCTCAAGGTTAGGCTGTTTCTATGCAGTAGAGGGCGCCAGAGCCCCAGCTGCTGCTTACTTACCCTTTATATTTTGCACTGTATCCAAATGCCCCTCGCTGTTACACGTAATGTACAAAGCTATTATTTTACTTGTGTTTGTTTGTGCATTTTAGGATTTCCTGAAACACTCTAAAAAGGCTGGGCTCGAGTCTCCGGATTTGGAAGTGAGATCCAAATAAAAAACCCCAAAAAGAAAACACAAAACATAAATTTGAAAAAGAAATTATGCAAAACAGTTTGAGCGATTATACCAGTCTTGTTTATTTCTGACTCTTCCAGAAAGCAGTGGAGGTCATGTGCATTGTTCCAAAAAGGTGTAACGATATGATGAATGTCGGCCGGCTTCAAGGGTTTGATGTAAGAAGCCATTTTTCCCAGTGATCGGTCAAGCAATACAACATCTTCCTTAAAGCGTGCGTTAACATTTCTCTCTCTTTGCCTCCAGGGGAAGATTGTGGCTCAGGGCCGCCTTTTGCTGCAGGACACATTCATGGTGTCCGACCCCGACGGCGGTCTGCTCGGCCGGATGAAGGAGAGGAGGGTTTTCCTGTTTGAGCAGCTTGTCATCTTCAGTGAGCCCCTGGACAAAAAGAAAGGGTTCTCTCTGCCAGGCTTCCTCTATAAGAACAGCATCAAGGTAATGATTTAAGGAGGGAGGATGTACACTTGTTACTTTCCCCACTTGAAGAATGTCTGTTAATATGCTAACAATGAGGAACATTTCTCCTTGTTGTTTGCAGGTTAACTTGATTTAATTATTCCTAGTTGTGTAATCTTGTTTTAGTGAGCAGTTTTAAAGTCAGAAGAATATCTTTCTCAGAAGAATAAACCATGTTTTCTATAAAAATAGGCCGCAGGCTTCGTTTGGCTCAGCTTCAAAAGCAAAAGACATTTACCTGAAGCAGAGCTTAGTCTGTCAGTCTGTCTGGCTCCTCATCAAGTTCATGTAACAAAAGCTCAGACGCTGCTCTTTTTAAGTTGCTGCATTGCACTGATTTTAGCAATGGACTCTTGACACACAGAAGTAGTGCAGTCCCAAGCTGCCTTTGTTAAACATCTCTTATGAGTAGTTTAAATCTGTAAGGCAGGTGAGCGTGAGGTGAGAGGACGGCGTGTCCGCGCTTTCAATAACAGTGCTGGTTAAGCCTCAAAATGCATCCTGAACTTCGCTGTACTCTGCAAGAGCACTTTTCACATGTGTGAGAGAGGGAGGGGTCGAGATGTTGGGACAAAATACTGTATACCATTCTTGATGGAGCATGTAGTTACATTAATTTAAAAGCCCTGTGCTCAGTTGGCGTTAACCCTTCATTCAGGGCTGCTTTTAATGACATTTTATTTTATTTCTCAAACATTTCCTTCTGCCTGTAGTGAACCTTTAAGCCTTTGCGTATAACAGAGGAAAGTAAGGAAATTGAGCCCATGGGAAATAAAAAAATACAAATTTAGGAAAGGTTGACATGATTAAATCTCAATATTTCTGTGCCGCTGACTCTGTTTGATGTGTTTTCCCTGTTTTCTTTTTTTACACCAGATAAGCTGTTTGGGTTTAGAGGAGAATGTGGAAGGTGATCCCTGCAAGTTCATTCTCACTTCTCGGTCAGCCAACGGCGCCGTGGAGTCCTTCGTGCTTCACTCCTCCCATCCAGGGGTGCGCGAGGTCTGGACCCTTCAGATCAGCCAAATACTCGAGAGCCAACGCAACTTCCTCAATGGTAGGCTGCTACACACACACAGACGCACACAGACACACACACAGAGGACTTATAGGTGATGTAAAAGAACTGCTGTGTACATGGCCACCCTTGTCTCTTGCATCTTATCACAGCTCTGACCTCACCAATAGAGTATCAGAGGAACCATGTAGGGGCAAACAGTCCGCCCAGCATCGGAGCTCCAGGTGGGGGCAACAGCGGTTCTAGTGCAGCCCCCGGAGGTGGAGGTGGAAGCTCCCAGAGTAGCTCCATCCCTTCGGGACCCCAGGGTGGCTCTCGTCGGCCGTCCAGGATCCCGCAACCCTCCCGCCTGCCCCAACCCCTACGTCACCACCCCGGGGCCGACCCGGATGGCTCCAATAAGATGTCAGGTATGAAACGTCTGTCTGTCCTTGTGCAATTTGACTTGTTTGACCCAATGAAAGATGTGACTGAAGTCTGAGTTTTACTCGCTTGTGATCCAGGTTTGTCCCCTCGTCCTGTCCCTCCTCCTCTACTCCCTGTGGGGGGCAGCCCGCAGGGCAAGCGCCCTATCCACACCACAGAGGACCAAGCTTATACCCCCATCCCACGTGCTACCGTTGGGCCTCTGCCCTCCACACCCACTTCTAAACCACGGCCAGGAGCCGTGTCTCCCATGGCCTCCCCCATGGCCACTCCCGCCTTTGGCAAGGACACTCTCCCCCCTCCCCCTCCCAGCCCAGGCCAAAACCAAAAGTCTGGATCTGGATTCTGGAGCTCAATGCCGGGCTCTCCAGCCAGCCGGCCTGGCTCATTTACCTTTCCGGGTGAGGCGGGAGAGACTCCGGTGCGACAAAGCTCAAATCAGAGCCAAACCCACAGACACTCCACGCACAGCAAGGAGGCCGACCGCATGAGTACGTGCTCATCGGCCAGCGAGCAGTCCATCCAGTCCACCCAGAGTAACGGGGTAAGACCACTACCTGCTGCCCAGTGCTGATCCGACTAACCCAGCGGCAGAGGGGGGGGCCGGTCTGTCCTGTCTGCCTTGTTGTCTCCTGTCCTGCTGCCAGCGCTACTAATCTGTCCCTTACTACGCATCTCTGACAACCTCCACTGCTCTTCAGCATCATCCTCTGTAGCTTTAGACGGTTTCTGAGGACAATCTCTAGACAAGGCTTCAACTGTCAACATGTTTTCAGGCTCAAAGTCTTTCTAGCGGACCTCGCTCACCTCTTCACTGATTATCTTTTAAGGCTGTCTCTAGATTCTTAACTCTAACAAAGCTTATACTAACACTTGACTTCTTCTGGGCCGTCTTCATGGTGTGTTACTTAAATGTACTTTTCCTGCAACTAACGTCTGACGTTTGCGGTTCACCTGCAAACGTACTCAGAGATCCTTTCATTCAGCCTAACGTTTCTCCTCTCGTCTTTGCGTCGAGCTGCAGAGCAAAGACGAGTGAAATGGAAAACTTCATCTTATTCCTGCCTTTCTTCATCCAGTTAGCCTTTTCCAAGAAGAAATTAATAACTCCCTGTTTTGTCTTTCTTCCGCTCGAATTTCTTTTTACAAAGCCTCCACTTCTTTTTCTCTTTATCTCATCAAAAGTGGCACTCGCTAGAGATGTCACCCCACATGTTTAGATTTGAAAAAGTTACCGTGTTTAATGCATAATCGCTGCATGTCCATCTGAGTTTGCCCTTACCGTTTTCCATCCCTGTGGTGCAGAGTGAAAGTAGCAGCAGCAGTAGCGTATCCACCATGTTGGTGACCCAGGACTACACAGCTGTGAAGGAGGATGAGATCAGCGTCATTCAGGGCGAGGTGGTCCAGATCTTGGCCAGCAACCAGCAAAACATGTTTCTGGTGTTCAGAGCATCCACCGAGCAGGGCCCCGCCGCCGAGGGCTGGATCCCCGGATTTGTGCTGGGACACACGTCGACCATTGTCCCCGACTGTCCCGAGGGATCCATCAAGTAAGAGCACGATGATTGGGGGGGGATTATTTTCAAATTCATAATATGTGCACTTGAGATTCTCATCTGCCGTTTTTATCAAGACACTGAGCTCACTGCCGTCATTTTCGTTCTCCTAGCAGGAAGTCTTCATCCTGGCACACGTCCCTGCGTATTCGCAAGAAGTCTGAGAAAAAGGAGAAGGAGGCAAAGAAGGAGACAAAGCTGGAAAATGGTTACAGGAAGTCCAGAGATGGCCTTGCCAATAAAGTTTCTGTAAAGGTGAGTTTCACTTCACTTCAAAACTCTACAGCGATGCCTCGAAGTTACAGACTGTTGACATTTGTTTATCTTTCTTTCCAGCTTCTAAACCCAAACTACATCTATGATGGTGAGTTTGAGCTCCAGACCCGATCCCTCAACATCGTTCCAGCTTTCTCTTTGTCACTGCAGCACACTGCAGGAGCTTGTCTGTATCAGACGCATTCTCACTGCACTGCAAATATCAGTTGGCTTTAGGCTAGGTGTGGGGTAGAGGGTGCTGCTGGAGGCGGGACATGTGATGCTCACTTGCTCCCTGCAGATTTTCCATAACCTGCATTCTCATTGGCTCAATGTGGCATTACACAGATTTGGAGCCTGTCTGTCAAACAATGACAACAACAAATCTCTTCTTTCCTTTCAGTTCCCCCAGAGTTCCTTGTACCTCTGAGTGATGTGACATGTGACAACGGAGAGAGCGTCACCCTAAGGTGTAAGGTTTGTGGGCGACCCCGGGCTACAGTCAGCTGGAAAGGGCCCAACCAGAGCAACCTCACTAACAACGGACACTTCAGCATCGCCTACAAGTAAATAGCCGAGCAGGTTTTACTCCTCGCATCAGCTTTGTTGAACACAATAACTCGAGAGTGAACCTGCCGCCCCACTCAGCTACACTCACCCTGTTGTGATGGAATAGATGAATAAAGGAGTGTGTGTTTGTTTCAGTGATACGGGTGAAGCGACTCTGCGGATAATCGGCGTAGCCTCTGAGGACGATGGCGTTTACACGTGTGTTGCCACCAACGAGCTGGGCAGTGTGACATCATCAGCTAGCCTCAGAGTGTTGGGTGAGCGTAGAGACAGACGTGAAACGTATGCGATGAGTGTCACTGCAGATTTTATTGAACCACCTCCTGCTTTCATGTGTCTCAGCCGTGTCCACTGACGGGGTCCGAGTGAGCTGGAAGGATAACTTTGAGTCTCACTACACTGAGGTGGTTGAACTGGGAAGGTAACAGACACGCTGTGAGAATTCAGAATATAAAAGCTACGGCAACAAAAAACGATAAAGTAAACGGACCGACTGTGTCGTCTTCTCGTCAGGGGTCGTTTCTCTGTCGTCAAGCGCTGCGACCACCGGGGCACCAAACGCCCGGTGGCTGTGAAACACGTCAACAAGAAGCTGATGAGGAGAGACAGAGTGACCCAGGAGCTCAATCTGCTCCAGAGACTCCAGCACCCGCACATAGTCACCCTGACTGATACCTACGAAACTCCCAGCAGCTACGCGTTAGTCCTGGAGATGTGAGTAAACAGCAAAGGCGTACAGGCGGAGTTAAACCCTACATACACACACACAGCTCTGTCACGCCATACCTCCGACCTGATGTTTTGCTTTGGGTTTCAGGGCCGACCAAGGCCGTCTGCTGGACTACATCGTGAGCTGGGGGAATCTGACTGAGGAGAAGGTGGCCTGCTACTTGAGGAACGTTTTAGAAGCTTTACACTACTTACACAACTGCAGAATAGCACACTTGGACATAAAAGTGAGTCCTCACTTTTTCATTTTCCTCCAAACATTGAAGCCATAAAAAGGTTGACTGACATGTGGATGCAGTGCGGTCATGTACAAACCATGATGATGAATGAATGAGAATCCATGAGGCTAATCTTTGCTCTCGTTACAGCCTGAGAACCTGCTGGTGTCCCACACCGCCAGCGGCCAGCCAATAGTCAAGCTCACAGACTTCGGTGATGCCGTGCAGCTCAACAGTGCCCACTATGTTCACCCTCTGCTGGGCAGCCCTGAGTTCGCCTCCCCAGAGCTGGTCCTCGGAGAGCCCGTGTCGCTGACCTCTGACCTGTGGAGTCTGGGCGTGGTCACCTACGTGCTGCTGAGCGGCGCCTCCCCCTTTCTTGACGAGAGCGCAGAGGAGACCTGCCTGAACATCTGCAGGCTGGACTTCAGCTTCCCCAGGGATTACTTCCAGGGCGTCAGCCAGGCGGCCCGGGACTTCGTCTGCCTGCTTCTGAAGACCGACCCGGGCAGAAGGCCCCACGCCGGCCTCTGCCTCCAGGAGCCGTGGCTGCAGGCTGGCCAAGGCGACGGCCGGGCAGAGGGCTGCTTGGACACCTCCCGCCTCATTTCTTTCATTGACAGGAGAAAACATCAGACCGATGCCCGGCCCATCGGAGGGGTCAGGAGCTTCATTCACGGTCGCCTTCAGCCTCGGGTTTGAGCAGCTCTCAGCCTCAGCGCTCCGACCACAGCAGGAGACGCTGCTCAGTTTGGGGTCCAGCACTGAGGTTGAAGAGACTCTTTATGGTCTCGATGTAAAAAGAAGGAGAAAAAAATGAAAGCTGATCTCATCCTCTTTCACAGATTTTTCACTAAATAAAATCCTGTTATCCTTTTAGGTTGTTTATTTGAGACCTGCTGAGGTCTTCAGCCAATCAGAGCCCAAGAGAACGGAATTCTCACCAATCATAAATGAATGGATGCCCTCGTCTACTGCTGCTTGCTGGTTTCGTCTTTTTGTAGTTAAGTGAACAAAAACAGTTTTAAAAAAACTATTATGAAGTAAGTTATTTTCCTCTGCGCGAGTTGAAGCTGATCAGAAGAGCCAATCGATCGAGCCTCAACGCCACCACACGGGCGCAGCTCCTTCAGGAGAAACAGATGCCAACGGAGCTCGCCACAGAGAGCAAATCGCCCTCCAGGAACAGACGGTGTGTTTTTGTCTTTTACCCTTAAACAGTAACTGGGATACTTTTGAGAAGCAACCCTTTCTTATAGAAACAGTGTATAGAAAGGCACAGTAGTGTCTCTGATTCCAAGGAGGAAAAAAACAAACACATCGTTGTAGAAAACGCTCATAAGTTGAAGATTCGTGTGCTACTCTGGACACTGCAGACAGGCGGAAACCGCGACAGAGCTCATCAGCTGAGACATTTATACATCAGAGCTTCTCGATGGCTGCGCTTACATTAACGTACCCTAATCTAATCTGAGAACACCATGATGACCGTGTCGTGAGTAACAAATGCTGCACTGTCCAACCCGAGAAGAAACAATAGACGTTCGTCTTTTTTTTTCTTTTTTCTTTTGTCTTTTCCTTTGTTGCGCAGATATGACATGTTTAAGCCTTACCTTGTATAGAGACTTCGGCCTTCTTCCCCCTCACGTTCGCAGTGGACTCGAGACTGTTGGAGCCCTCGGTGGCAGCGCTGAATGTGGAGGCGGCGGAAGATGAATTTACTGTAAATGCACTCATTGTATGTTATGTTTGATTATCATGTGCAATGTTGCGGCTTTAACATTTTATGCAACTATTTATGAAAACATCTGTTGTATCTGTAATAAATCTAGAGAAAAGCATGTACTTGGTACTGCAAGCACTGCTGGTAGTTTGTGTTCATTCGATCGCCGAGTGTTAACGACCGCTCCGGGGCCAGGCCGCGTCAGAGGTCACGACCTACAATCATCACGTTTTGATCAAAACTAATTTAACACTTTTTTTTGTACTGTATGCCTCTGTAGTATTGGTACACCAAAGTTGCTCTAGCTTTATAGTACTTAATAAAGAAATGGTTTTATTGTGATTACGTTTCACTTGCGTTAGGCCATCCATGACCATGTTAAAAGATTGTTTACACGAGTAAATGTCAGAGGAACGCTTTTAGTTTACTCTCTTTATACCTTTATTAAAAAGGTGGGAGATTAAAGGACTGAAATGTACTCTTGGATGGGAGCTGAATGCAAGATTTTACTTACAAAGTGTTGTTTTCACTTTATGTACAGATACATGTTGCCAAAATATTTCTTCCATTTAAAAAAAAACAAAACAAAAAAAACAACAACAACAAAAAAACACCTAACCAGTAACCACACAAGATTACTATGGTAACAATAACACAGATAAGTCCAGTAAGGGGTTATGATTAAATCAGCCCCCTCTTAACCTTTTTTAATTTACTTCAAAAGGTGTACACACAGGCCATTTTAAAACAAGAAGACTGGACTGGATACCTCAGTTTGGGTTTATTTTGTTGATTTTTCTGTTTTTGTCACTTTGTTGTGTTTTTGTTTTCCCGTTTTTGTTTCATAAATTGTTTTTTTTATTATTATTATGTTTGCATGTATATTTCTTTGTACAAATCATACATATTCTCTCCTGTAAATAGTGTCATTTTGCCATCACTCATTTGAAAATTAAACTTCATGAACACACAGGCCCCGTCTGACATTTACGTTCTTTTGTGTTTGTTTTTATTGTTTGTTTGTTTAGTTATTTATTTTCTTGGGGGGGAGTGGGGCGGAGGGTCTTTAAACACTGAAATAAACATTAAAGCAAGTTTTGTTTAGATCGGGTAGCAACATTTTCAAGACTTTGTTCATTTTTCCATCATCTGCTCACCACTTTCTTTCCCTTTCTTTTTTTTTCTCTGTACAGGTCAGATGGTTTGATTTTGTACAATTCCGTGTTCGAGTTTAGTGACGTAGGCTGACGTCATCATTTACAGGACTGGTAACAAACTGACGCTCACACTTGCCTAAAATACCTACAAATACTTAACACTTTCAAAACTCTTCATTGGGACTTTTTTTTCTTGATTTGTTCTGCATTGGAAACTCATACTGTTTGAGCTCTATATGAAAGATAAACAGAACTTTCAGGATTTAAAAGCCAGTGCACATGTGCTTTAAAGTGGCATTAATCCTAGTGACCAGCAGGGGGAGACTGATGCATTTGCAAAGAAAATTAAAAGGGGATGCAATTAAAAATGCACATGATACAATTATGGTCTCAGTCCATGGTTTCATATTTTAACTGTTCCTACACGGTGTTATTATGAAATGACTATGCTTAAACCCAAAGTTTCCTCCACATCGATGGGAGGCAGTTGAAGTGTTTCAGGCATCCCAGACCAGGAGAAAGAAGATGTCCCTCAGCTGGCTTGGGAATCCCTCACGCTTCATTCACAGCAGGGCAGTCATGTTCGTTTGTGCATGTATTTGCCTGCAGAAGACAGGTTTTCAACCAGTGCAATCCTCAGAAATCCCTGCTGCACTCTGCTCGACGTGGACGACGCTGTGTGTCGCTCACATGCTGAGTTGTTGACGAGTGAGGTGAAACAGTTCACCAGCAATGGGAGAAAAGCAAGAACAAATTAAAATAAATATTAAAAACTACAGCGTGAAAGGTAAAGACAGTGGTTTCAGTGAACATTCTTTACTTTTTTAAAGCATATTTTGCACTTCAGCTCGTTGTCTGTTAAACTGTACGTACTTCATCAGTATTTTATAAATAAATTTATATGAATAATATATATTAGATGAAAAACACGGGGAAAGCAAAGGTTGTTCTGTGTTTATATATCAGGCCACAAGATGAAGAAATGTCACAGTTGGCTGCATCCATCTTTTATATGTGGTCTATGGTACAGACACTTATCTGCACACTGCATATCTGCTGTTTCTTCACCATAACACTCATAATTTGTCAGCTGTTATGTCTCCTAATACTTGAATAACAATTTTAAAGACTCCCACAACTAGTAGTGTTGTGGAGCCACTGGTTGTTGTTTACAGGTGAGGACATGTATCTGTACTGAACGGCATGTTATGGTAAGTAAATGAATGAAGAAAACTCCACAGGATTCTTTTAATGTTGTCCGATATGCGTAATCAGTCGATTACATCATTATGCATCAACATTTTATAGTGTGTGTGTGTGTGTGTGTGTGTGTGTGTGTGTGTGTGTGTGTGTGTGTGTGTGTGGGGTTAGATTAGATTAGCAGCCATTTAGCATCTGAGTTACCACGAAACATTTACAAAGATCAGTAGGGGAGACCGGGGATAGTTGTAACGTGGGTCAGTTACTTCCAGTTTCTCCAATCAGGGCTAAGTTTCAAATGATGTGACTCATCCTGTGCATGCCCAATTCAGTTCTGCTATCACATGTGAAAAATCAGCACATTTTGTCAAACACAGACAATTTAACATGAAAAAAAGTAATTTGTATGCCAAAAAGTACGTTTTTCTACTTTATTTCAATGTTTAATAGCATTATCTGCTTTGCAGTTAAACTCATCAAACTTAAATTATGTTATTTGTTTGTCTATGGGGATATATTCTGTCTTTAGTGCTAATGTTTTAGCCGTTGGCTGTAATGTTAGCTAGTTCATGGCTATAGGAGTCTGGGTCAGTTGTAACAATAATGCAGATGTTACAACTTACCACACTATTACTTTAACTTATATTAAAGAACAACTGAAAAATGTTACCCTTTAACAGCTATGGAAGCGGCCTTTGCAGGGTTCTAGTCAAATACCTGGTCTGTACCGCCCCCAAGTGGCTCTTCTCTTATATTGACGAGCGGCTGCTTTACAAACCTCACAGATATTGACGACTTAAAAGTTGTTTTGGGTGGGAAACAGATATTCTGTGTACACATATCTACATTTCACCTTATGAACAGAGCGATAGGTCAAATATCCAATAACATTTGCCCAAATTCATTCATTTAAACCATCCAGAATGTCCAAAAAGCTTCTGTAGAAAATGCCTTCTAAAGACAATTTTTTAGGTATAGCAGAGCCGTTATTAATCTTTTTTTTTTATATATTTTATTGTATTTATTTAATCTTTTTGTCAAATGTGACTTTCTGGTATTGTGGTTAAAACATCTGTATTATACGTGAAAGTTTCCTGGTTTGGTACTGTGAGGATACACAAAACCCACCCTCAGAGGGTCATTAGCTAGTTCACAAGCCCTGATTGTTGGGAAGTCTGTCTCATGAAGAGCATCCGGCGTAAAATCTGTGCCAAATCAGACATTTGGATCATTTTGCTGTGGTGACCTCTTGGGAAATAAGGGAGCAGCTGAATGTAGCTCTGGTTAATTAGTATATAATAAAACCTGTTACTGCAGGGTTGAAGCAAGCAGCATTTATAATTTTCTAATCCTGGGTTTGTGAATATTTTTTGCTGCTGTAATACCGTGAAATTATTATTTCTTCTCCAGATGTGCACAAATGTGGGTTTAAAAACCCGATACGGTGTTTCCGTTTCGTGCTCACAGTTTCCACTCTTTATAAGACATTAAAGACCAGTTAGAAACACTTATGTGTGAACAGATCTTTGCACCATCTGGTGCCTTATTTGAACTTGTATGACTCAAAGTCAGCAGGTTTCTGACACTGGGGGCGTTCACGTGCAGTGGGATGTTCCAGTACTTTTTAACTGAAATAAAACTGACCTCAGCATGGGCACACCTCTCCACATGCCTTGAACTGGCTTTGACAGCTTTTGCACAGGACGGGCAAGATTAAAGTGTGCGAACAGGAATATAACATGTTACACAAGCAAGATCAAATTGCATCGATTTACTTTACTCGTGCTTTTGTCTGTAGGTAAGTCAAACTAATAAAATAAATTATTTGATTCAGGTAAACAAAAGTAATTCCAGTGACATTCAACATGTTGCTCCAATGATGCAGTGGTGCAGGTTGAGGTGTTATCCTTTTCTGCTTCAGTAACATTTGATAACACTGATAATAGCAACTTGTGAGGTGATGGATGCACCACTGTGTTGCCCAGCTATTTGTATACTTACACATTTATTAGCCTAACTACATGTGAGGTTAGTTAGTGTTCTACCCTGTCCTAGCTTAGTGGTAATTGGTCTAAAAAAAAAGCACTGGACTGGCTTTTTGCACTGCAAGCTGCATCCACACACCTAGATGGACAGATTGGGGGGTAGTGAGGGTTCACTGTCTTACCTAAAGACCTTATGAGTGTTGGACAATGTGCTCTAAATCTCGAGCCACCGTAAAAAACGGAATATTTGGGGACCTTAGTGGAGAGCCAGGTAACCAGTGAAGTGGTCCATCCGGGAGATGTGACTAAAAACAAAAAGTATCATTTGTACTACACTCCGCACAAATTATTAGTTCAATTGAAATCAGTTGTAATTATATAGCGCTAACTAACAACAACAGTCACCTCAAGGATCTTCATATTGTGAGATGAAGACCATACAGCAACACAGAAAACAATCCAACAATGAGATAACTCTGTATGAGTGAGTGGGAAGGAAAAACTCCCTTTTAACAGGAAGAAATCTCCAGTAGAACCAGGCTCAGGTAGGGGAAGCCATCTGCCGTGACTGGTTGGGGTCTAAGGCTCATCTATTTTTACTCAAATGGCTAGTGGGTTTTATCAAAAGAAGTAAATAAAAGAATAAAATAAATAAACAAAAGCAATTTCCTTTTAATGTTACTTTATCTTCTGCACGAGAAGGGAAATGTAGAGATATGCAAGTATGCAAGACCTGGATTGAAAACCAGGAACAGGTCTGATGAATCCAAATTTGAAAGTTCTGGTGCAACAAAAACTTGCAGAAACTCTACAGTGACTTGCAGGATCTACAGTCACCTGTAAAACACGGTGGAGGCTCCATCACAGTTTGTGCTAGAAACCGGCAAAAGGTGTCAGGTGTTTTTTTTCCCCAGAAATCTCTGCAGCTGTTTCCCATTTCCTGGAAAAATCTAAAGAAATAAGGGGTGGCACAATACTCAAAAGTAACTGTTTTTTGGATACAATGGACAATCCTAGAAGCTAACTAGCTATCTCTGTAGCCTTTAAATTACATTATTTATTACAGTTAAATATATTTGCTTCAAATTTCAAATGAAAGATTAATTGATGATTCATCCATCCATCCATTTTCATCCGCTTTGTCCGGGGCCGGGTCGCGGGGGCAGCAGCCTAAGCAAAGAGGCCCAGACCTCCCTCTCCCCAGCCACCTCCTCCAGCTTATCCGGGGGAATACCAAGGCGTTCCCAGGCCAGCCGCGTGTCCTGGGTCTGCCCCGGGGCCTCCTCCCGGTGGGACATGCCTGGAACACCTCACCCAGGAGGTGCCCAGGGGGCATCCTTGTCAGATGCCCGAACCACCTCAGCTGGCTCCTTTCGATGTGGAGCAGCAGCTGCTCTACTCTGAGCCCCTCCCGGATGGCCAAACTTCTCACCCTATCTCTAAGGGAGAGGCCAGCCACCCTTCGGAGGAAGCTCATTTCTGCCGCTTGTATCCGCGATCTCGTTCTTTCGGTCACTACCCACAGCTCGTGGCCATAGGTGAGGGTAGGGACGTAGATCGACTGGTAAATTGAGAGCTTCGCTTTTACACTCAGCTCCCTCTTCACCACGACGGACCGGTGCAGCGTCCGCATTACTGCAGCTGCAGCCCCAATCAGTCTGTCGATCTCCAGCTCCCTTCTCCCATCACTCGCGAACAAGACCCCGAGATACTTGAACTCCTCCACTTGGGGCAGGAACTCATCCCCGACCCAGAGTGGGCACTCCACCCTTTTCCGGCTGAGAACCATGGCCTCGGATTTGGAGGTGCTGATCCTCATTCCCGCTGCTTCACACTCGGCTGTGAACCGCTCCAGTGCGAGCTGGAGGCCCCCACCCGATGAAGCCAACAGAACCACATCATCCGCAAAAAGCAGAGATGAGATTCTGAGGCCACCAAAGCGAAAGCCCTCCGCCACTTGGCTGCGCCTAGAAATCCTGTCCATAAAAATTATGAACAGAACCGGAGACAAAGGGCAGCCCTGGCGGAGCCCATCACCCACCGGGAACGAGTCCGACTTATTGCCGGCAATGTGAACCAAGCTCTTGAAACGGTTGTATAGGGATCGAATGGCCCGTAGCAATGGGCCAGACACCCCATATTCCCGCAACATCTCCCACAGGACACCCCGAGGGAAACGGTCGAATGCCTTCTCCAAGTCCACAAAACACATGTAGACTGGTTGGGCAAACTCCCATGCACCCTCAAGTATCCTGGAGAGGATAAAGAGCTGGTCCAGTGTTCCGCGACCAGGACGAAAACCGCATTGTTCCTCCTGTATCCGAGGTTCGACTAACGGACGAACTCTCCTTTCCAGCACCCTGGCATAGACTTTCCCAGGGAGGCTGAGGAGTGTGATCCCCCTGTAGTTGGAACACACCCTCCGGTCCCCTTTCTTGAAGATGGGGACCACCACCCCGGTCTGCCAGTCCACAGGTACTGCCCCTGATCTCCACGCAACACTGCAGAGGCGTGTCAACCAGGACAGCCCTACAACGTCCAGAGCCTTCAGGAACTCGGGGCGGACCTCATCAACACCAGGGGCTCTGCCACCAAGGAGTTGTTAAACTGCCTCAGTGACCTCGCCCCCGGAAATTGGCGGGTCATTCCCCTCATCCCCAGACTCTGCTTCCTCCTCGGAAGACGTGTCAGTGGGATTAAGGAGGTCCTCGAAGTATTCCTTCCACCGCCCGACAATTTTCTCAGTCGACGTCTGACATTAATTGATGATAAAAAGGCAAAATTAGAAAGACAGCTTCCTGTACCTTAGACTGGAATACTCTAAGGAGTATCTGATTTACTAATCCTGAAAATATTCCATGAAGGATGAAAATGTCCAAAATTGGAACCTGGTTGCAAGAATAAAAGCGAGTGAGAGTACATAGCGTATCTAATCCAACCTTCAAACAGCAGAGAACAACAGAGCAGGAGTCAGGCATGTTTGGTTTATAGCAATGTTGTCTTTTATTCTAATTTCCAATAAACAGAGAATATATCAGTCCCTTATTTGTACAAAAAATACCTGAAAAGGATACAATGTAGATCCAGGAGCCGCACAGACAGAATGAAGCAAAGCACAGTGGAGGAGTGTACGTCAGAAAAAATGATTACAGTTCATTTGATCCTTTGTTTTTGTTTTTTCCTCCCTGGAATTTTATATTTGACTTCAACTTATGATGACTTTGACCCAGCAATAAAAACACTGAGTTAGCTTCACTTGCACCTATAGTGTAAGTCACCGAAGTTCAGTGGGACTGACGTGTGACGTCCACATTAGCATTTAGTTCCGGTAAGGCTGCATTTCACAGTCACAGCTAATTTGAAACGCAGTGTGAGAGTGGACGGACGGCAACTAGGGAGCTGTGACCGTTTCAGAAAGAGGCACGTGCTGCGAGAGAATACAAAAAAATGTTACGCACCTTTAAGAAAAATAATCAGACAACATAGACATTATAATGAGATGCACAATCCTCTGGAGCTACAGCTTATAATTGCACTACTTGTGATGAAAAGCTTAAGAATTAGCGTGTGCGCTCTCCATCAAAAAACAATGCTGTGTGTGTGTGTGGGCTTAATATCCAAACATGGAGTATAAATGACAGAGAGGGAATACTGAAAGAGTTGAAACCTGGCAGAGATGAAGACTCCGACAGCCTGTCAGCTTATAAACAACTGAAGTTCAGAAATTTGACACATGCCAAAAATCCAGTTTGATTTCTTAAAAAAAAAAAAAAAGAAGTTTAATTTAATTAATACTGTATATGCTGTGGTATACGTCATTTTGTGGCAAACCAAAGACAATACACAATAAAGTCATACACACAATCATATAATAAAAAAAAGGAAAAAACAAATCATTCTTCATTTTACATGGAGTTATGAGCAAAAGCATAACAGCCCATACATAGTGATCTGTGACCTAGGTACAGTGTTAGATCTACATCTTCTCCATAGCTTCACATACTTTGAAAACAAGACTTTATACTGGTATATATTCATATGATTGGACTTCTGTGAACGATTGCATTGTAGCACAGTGACTTAAAAAAAAAATGGAGGGAGGACGGTGATTTTGTCCCCGCTGACCCATAGTGACGTGGCTTTCATCCTCTGTCAGACAGGGAAGAACCTAAACTGATGACTGGGAATGCTGGGAAACTTCCAGTCAAACTCCCGTCTCCTCTAAATCTGCAGCTTACCCCCCCGACTTTACCAGACTGTCTTCTTACCGCCTCTAAAAGGGCAAGCGCGTTAGCCAGCAGACTTCCTGAAGAGTGAATATAACAGTCTGGTCATCCGCACACCAACACACATTTACCACAGGGTCATATAGCTTACAGGCTGGACACAGGTGGGAGAGGGGGGCGGGGGATTCAAGCATTATCCAATCCCTGGAGAGAGTCTGACCTGACTGACCAGAAAGGCCTGATTGGTGGAGTGCAGAGCTGGTGAGTCGTTTAAGTCACGCGATTAGTTGGCTGGTGGCGGCAGTGGATTGTATGTGTGTCTGTGTGTGTATCAGTGTCGGTGCTTAGAGTCTGCCGACCTCATTCTAACCCTGTGAATCTGGGGTAGGATGGATGGAAACTGCAGGTGAGGGCGGGACGGGTGCTGCACAAAAGCAGGTGTTATGTCACACGGGTTCAGTTGGTCATGTGACAGTAGGAATGACAAAAAGGATTCCTCGTCTCCTTTCTTGGGCATCTTTTTCCTGTTACTATAAATAAGGTCAAAAATAAACTAACTCATGATCTGTTTAAGCTACTTTGAGAGGAATTTCTATGTGAATCTAATTCTTTGGAACTGATCTCTATGCTGACTATTACAGATTCATTTTTAGAGACCTGGCAACAGCATCAACAATTGGCATTTTCTCTTACATGTCATGAATTGGTTGATGACAGCTCATTTTTTTTCAGTAGACCAACTAGGTAGAGGGGGAAAAAAGCTTATGATACCGACTGATTCACAAACTGATGCCACTTTAATGAGTTTTGAACCATGAATGCTAAGATTGGGCATAAGGTTAAGGTTCTGTGTTTAGCATTTAGCCACCTATTAGCAAACTCGTTCTCTGTAACATACATGTGGTATGTTCTAGTGTAAAGCTAGCGTTCAACCAAAAATTCAAGGAAACCGAAACAGTAAAATGGTAACACATTTTGGACACAGTCACGTGACAAATGTTTTCCATGAGATCTACTATCACAGCAGCTAGACTTACAGACTAACCGTCACTAATATCCAATTTAGTCAATTTAGAAGATTTTGGTCAAATTTTGGTGTACTGAGATTTCTCACATGGCATCATATTAGAAACGATACAACCACTAGTTGTCAGGGAAACATATTCACGGACTGGTTGGTAGTACTTCCAGGAGGTTGGTGGCTCTCGCTGGGTGAAATCAGTTGCAAAGTAGGTGCTATAATGGAAACCTCCCAATGACTCCTTTGGTTGCTAGCATATTTGCATCGCTGTGTGTCATGTATGTCTGAAAGATATTTGTAATTACTCTCTGAGCAGTAGTAAATTGTCACACAAACCAGAGATGGAGAGGATTCCTTCTTCAAAGTAAAAGCTGTGCTTGAGATTTACAACCAGCATGTTTCAAAAAAGGACAACTTTTACATAAATACAAATATTCCTTGTTTCCTTTTTTTGCTGCACTTTTTACAGTTTCCAAAATGTTTTCCATACTGACAGGTGGGTCATTGGGGAAAAATAGGGGCCACTGACCACCCGGAAGGCATGTGTGACTGAGACTTTATTTTTCGAGTGAAAACCATCAACCTCCATTAACTACTTGCAAGCATTCAAGTAATACTTATTTCCCCATCATGACCAGTGGTTTCCAGCTGGTTGCAGACCAGTCTGTAGGCTTGTGTGATTGGGGCCTTGTTCACTTTGTCACATGTCCAAAATGGCCGACAAGTTAATGTCACATGGTTAGGGGTCATGTGTCTACAAAAAATAAAGAATGAAAAAAAAATCTCAAGAACCAAAGGTGACAGCTAGTACAACAATCTGAAACTGGAGGTTCAGTTCACTAAACCTGTTATTTGAGAAGCTTGAATAATTGAATACTTTTACTTTTTCAAAATGAAAGAACAAAAACAAATACTTGCTGGCCCTTAATTTACTCAAACAATGACCTGGTACTACTAAACTAAGCGAAACCCCTCTGTAATGTTAGCTTCCTATGTCTCTGTAGCGGTGGATTTGTTGTTTGATGGATTGGTTGTGAAATCAAGAAAGAAGCCATTTCTGCTTGATTGTAATTTAGCGACCCTGTTGATGTTTAGCAATGGTGCTCACTTCATGCAGCTAATGGAAATATCTAAATATAGAGTTGACTGACATTTTATCCAGATCTGAGATTGCATCACCAGTACATGTTTTCAAAGTTTTGTTCCAATGGATTTTTACTTTACAGGAATCTTTTAGACCTTTTGGAAAATATATTTTTTGCTTTCCTGTTAGAAAAGAAGGCAGAGATGAGAAGCTAGCTAGTTATGTGTGATGCTAGCTAGCAGTCTACAGCCAGCTAGCCAAGCTCAGTAAAAACATCAGATAACTTTCACAAACTGTTGTTTCCAGGATGATAAAACATGTTGATTACTGACTTTAGAGGTGGCTTTAGGCAGACTTTCTAACTGCACAGTCAAGACTGCTAGTCACGCTAGCATTAGCCTCATATTTAACGTACAGATCCTGTGAGTGTGTTACATTTCTTGACAAGAAAGCAAAAAAGGACTGTTTCCCAAATCTCCCACCATTTCTCCCCACTCATGATGTTCTTCCACCACCCCTGAATAAAAAATCCCAAACGTGTTACTCTATGTGCATTACTTTTTAAAACATAGCTTCAATTTTATACACAAGGCTCACAATTTTCACTTAAGGCGAGTGAAGCTCATTTGACTGCTTGTTGACACACAGACAACTGAGTTCACGTTTCAAGTAATTTGTTCAAATTTCATATTTAAAATGGTTTTAATAAAAGTTTTGAGAGTGCTTTTGTTGCTTTCAACGAGGGAACAGTGGTCAGAATCCGAACACGACAGCTCCAACCCATCGACAACAAATCAGGCTGATTTTTTTAAAAATGTGCAAGCAGAGAGCTCAGAAATTATTTAGTAAAAGGAAAACATTCAAAGACAAATTCACCAACAGATAAAATAACCATTTTGATTGGAAAAAAAAGACCGAAATGGTAGAAAGCTTGGGCTCGACACACTTTAAAGTGAGTCTATTTGAAAATCTTCCTCTTCCTCCTTAAAGTCTTGAGACACCTACAGCTGGTTCAAGAGCACATTCATGTTTTTTAATTGTTGTGGTCTTGTTGGTACGACACACACGGCTGGGGAGGTTAGTTAGATGTTCTTAAACCTTACTGGAAAGCACTGCATGATGTGACTGTGCTCCCACACCACCGTAATCCAGCCAGAGCTGATGGAAATTCACATGCGTGCTTTTCAGAAGGGGAGTGAAGGAGGAAGAGGAGGCAGCTTCTCTTAGCTAAAGAGCTGTCGTCTGTCCGCTCGGGAGTGCAAAACAAGTTCTTCATTGAATCAACAGTAATAAAACAGCATTAAAATGACATCAAGTAATCAACTCTACAAGAGAGGCTTGTACAGCCTTCCTGATAAACATTCCTCTGTCCTTTCAGCAAACCCTCGCCCCTGCTCTGCTCGTCTTGCCTTTCAGCGACTTCTCGTTTCTCTCCCGACTTTTTTCTGAGCTCGTGTGGAGGCGGGATTGGGGTTGCATCAGGGGTCTGTGGGTCGGGACACGGCAGCGATGCCACGTCATGCCCCGCTAAGGTGTTTCCGGGGGGTGGAGGGCAGGGTGTCAGCTTATCCAGACTGGACTGCACAGGTTGAGAAAACTCCTGGATCAAGTTTGATGGGACCCAGGGAGGTTCCCGTCCATCCCTGATGATCATTGAGGAAGTCAGAAGGTGGCGCTCCCCGCCCACCTCGGTATCGAGGACAGGGCGGGCACCACAGCTTATCAGGCCTGGAGGATGGGGAAGGTGGGTGGGTGGGGCTGAAAGGTTTGGGACTCTAAAGGAAGGGATCCATCCAAGAGACCCACTGGAAACATACTGTAGCCATCTTGTGGTTTCACATCACGCTGGTCTTTTTCTGGGGTCTGAACACCAATAACAAAACAACCGCAGGAGTCCACAGTCTTCGACACTTGGCCTGTCCCAACAGCTCTCATTCAAACAACCAAGCAGCAGTAAGGTGGAGACGAACGTTACCCACTGGGGGACATCGACTTCCAGTCCTGGCTCCTAGCAGAGTTGTTCACATCCGCAAAACAGGACGTAACTTTTCTCCATCTCCTCAACCCCCACTGCGTTGGTAAGGGAAGGGGTAAAGGGGACAGAAGGGGAGGGAGGGAGATCTCAGGGAGAGAGGTGTGCAAAGAAAGGTTTGGGGGGAGGAGTGTCACAAGGCCACAGCGGTGCATGGGTGTTTGAGCTTGCAGGGCAGCACTCCTCTGTTAAGCTGGTAAAACTCCACCAGGTGAATCAGATCGGTGAACTTGGTGGCGCCGTCGTCGAGGCTGAAGAATACCTGACCGTCCTCCTCACACTTCAGAGCAGAATCAGACGGAGGAGAGGAGATAGTTTAGACACCACATGACAGAGACTGATCTTTATGAGGTAACGATAAAACATGGAACATCTGACAGGAGTGCAAACAGATGATCACATCCAGGTCTACATCGCCAGGCCACTGTACTGCATTTATAAGATAAGCAAATGATTTAATATCAAACACTAATGAAGCCAGTTAGGTTTAGGACATTATCCCTTCTCAGACCTGGAGATGACATTAATATTCAGTACAGTCTGTGGAGTGATCCGACTGGCTACTTTTTGCATTTCTTTGACGATATAAACTACAAACCAACAAATTTTATACTCCTACAGATTAGTTTGTCTATCAGTCACTTTGATCCAAACTAGAATATCAGGGATGGATGAACATGAATGAGTTTTATCAACTGGGCATTTTTAACATTTACACTTTTGACTGAACGGACAGAAACTCCATTGGAGGAGAATGGCCATCTATTATCAGTTCAATGTAATCAGTCTGAAATACATATATACCTTTTTCCAAATAAAGTTAAAACACTTTCTCCATGCAACTGCATCTTTGTCAATAACTGATTGATCTGTTTCCTCTGAGCTGTTTCGAGCTGATTTCTGTCCTGCAGCAAAACAAATCTAAGTGCACGGCTGCCTGGGAGGAAGCAAAAAACACATTTTAAAATCTTAAAAAAGCACAGCGTACTTTGGACACGGGTTGGTGGTGATGCTAAATGAGTGTAGCAGGCTCGCTGGGCAGAGTCTGCCGTAGGGTTTTTTTACACTATAGAATTAAACTGCATCGCAGACTATTTTTAAAGATGGACCTGCTTCTGGGGACAAATATACTCCTTTGCCGGTGATGCCAACAAGCCACAGCAGCTGGTTTATGAGACTGTGACTGCAGTTTAGCAGTCAGACTATAACAAGAAGTCAAATTTGTGTCATTTTCACACCGTTTCTCATTTCAGTGCATCTTAACAGAGGCGGTGAGATTTTTCTTGCTTTGTAATCACACTGACCGGTAGGATCTGGAAGTGCTTGATCTTCTGGTGGTGGCACAAGGTGAGCACGAATGCCTTGGGATTACTCTGACTGTCCCGCAACAAGAATAACCTGAAAGAAAAAGATTACATCATGAGAACTAGTTCAACCACCTTATAAAAAGGACTGACATATCTACCATGAATTTCCATATGCTTGATAATACACACCTTGAATATACTGCTCAAAAAAATTAATGGACCACTTTGAAAAATCACGTTGGATATTACTCCACTGGGTAATGTGTTAGGATGAAAAGATGCCACATCGTTTGATGAAAACTAAATGATCAACCTACAGAAAGCTGAATTCAAAGACATCCTGAAAATTTAAAATGATGCAGCAGGTTATGGATGGTGTACCGGGGCATCTCCTCCCAGATCTGGACCAGGGCATGACTGAGGTGCAACCTGGTTGCTCAGATGCACTGAAACATAGAACATTATGTGGGGTGTTCTGTTGCATTTAGGTCAGGCCAGCAGGGCCAGTCAATGGTATCAATTTCTTCATCCTCCAGGAATTGAGTGGATACTCTCACCACATGAGATCAGAGATTCCCATTCAACAGGAGGAAACCAGGATCCACCCAGCACCAGAGTAGGGTCTGAGAATGGCTCCAAAGATTCCACCCTGATACCTAATGGGAGTCAGAGTGCTGTTACCTAACCTGTAGAGGTCTGTGTGTTTCCCAGACCATCACTGACCCACCACTCAATCGGTCATGCTATGTTACAGGCAGCATAATGTTCTCCACGGCTTCTCCACATCCTTTAATGTCTCTAATACGTGCTCAGGGTGAACCTACACTCATCTGTGAAAAGTACAGAGCTGCCAATTCTGGTATTCTATGGCAAAAGCAGATCTGGCTCCAATGTCCTGGGCAGTGAGCACAGGGTCCACTAGGGGATGTCGGGCCCTCAGGCATCAGGAAGTCAGTTTCTGATTGTTTGGTCAGAGACATTTGCACCAGTGTCCTATTCGAGGTCATTTCGTATCTCTGGCAGCGCTCACCCTGTTCCTCCTTGCACAGTGGACCCTGCTGATGGGTTAAAGACCTTCTACAGCCCTGTCCAGCTCTCCCAGAGTAACTGCCTGTCTTCTGAAATCTCCTCCATGCTCTTGAGACTGTGCTGGGAGACACAGCAAATCTTCTAGTAATGGCTCGCATTGATCTTGATTGGTTTGTACTGTCCAAGCTGTCCAGCCTTGGTTAGGGTCCAGGTATCGTCTCATGCAACCAGTAGTGACACAGACCCAAGCTAAGTGCAAAACTAGTGAAAGAAACAGCCAGAAAAGATGAGGAGGGAAAAATGTCAGTGGCCTCCACCTGTTTGGGGGTTGTCTCATCGTTGCCCCTCTAGTTCACCTGTTGTTTATTTCATCAACACCAAAGCAGCTGAAGCTGATTAAAACCTCCTCTGCTACTAACCTGACCACATCAGGTCTCAGAAGTTTAGCTGACTTGATGCAATATTCTGATTAAAAAGTGCTCCAGTAATTTTTTGAGCAGTGTTCTTTTGCAGTTTCTGGAAAGCATTAAAACTTGCTCTGTGTGTGTTGTTGCTTTGACGAACCAAAGCACAATCATCCTGACAGCACTTGGACTACTTTGACAAAATTATCTTCCTCCCGGAGCCTTCACGTGAGGAGCGCTCTCCGTTCGACAATGTCGTAACTCACCCATCGACTTGGCCTTGTTGTATCATCATTTTGTGGGCTTCCTCTCTCATGATACGACCATGAAACCACACCTGTGTCCTGTGAATCACTGAAAAACACGGGAAGTTTTTCACGCACACAGACAGACACAACCATATTATATATATTTGTAAATGTATTTATACTGCTCATGGTGTTATTGCTAGGCCAGTGTCACATGAGAGTACCTGTGCTCAGAGAAGATGGATGCAGGGGACTGGGACTGCCCAAGACATTCATACGCTGACTCCTTTTCTATAAACACCACATTTATCGTTAGATATCATCATGTAAAACAAAACTCCCTCAAAGTCAAAGTCCCTAAGCCATGCCCATCACGTGTGTAACCCTCATGGCAAACTAAACTATGTTTAAACATCACTTTGGACCAAAACAAACACAGGAATGTTTTACTGTGAATCACTCTCTTCAATTCTTTTTAGTCCAATAACAAACACTACTGAAGGATGCACAGCTTTGGTAAAGTGCAACTACTACACACTTTAATTCACAAAGAAAACGCAGCCTTGTAGGGTATGAAAGGCTTCAGTGCATACCATCCATAAAAGCAGTCAATTTTTAAATATACTGGGAAACTCCTGCATATTCTGTGGTAATCACACAAAGCAGCTGCGGCTTGAATACGTTTGCACTTCTAGTCAGATATCCTCTATTTCCTATCTAAGCCCACCCTGCAGAACAGAATCCTTGCTCCCTCTGCTTACCCTCCAGGTATGCCCTTCTTCCAGGGCGGCGCTCTGGGCCTCGATGGGGTTGTCGATGACGCGACCGGTCCGCCCGGAGAAGTCCATGGCAACCAGGGAATTCTCAGATACGCTTCGCTGTTTGGAGAGCGGCAGGGGGGGTGGAGGGTGATGGTGGTTGGGTAGGGGTTAGAGGGAGGGGGCATACAAGAAAAAGGGTGGAGGGGTGGTAGACAAGGGTCAAGGGTTAAACAAGCCAGACACACTCACTGGAGCATGACAAATCCTGTCTGCACACAGACCCACTTTAGTCAATCCACAAATGCCCCTTTTGAGGAAAAGCACAAGCCTCTGCTGGCTATCTGGCTGTGGGACTCAAATTAGTCAAGACTTTCTTATAATAAATGTAATATAATATAATATAATATAATATAATATAATATAATATAATATAATATAATAAATATAATATAATATAATATAATATAATATAATAATATTACTCTTCACAAAATAATCCTTTTTAGGAGTCATTGTTATATTATATCCTAACACCTTTCAGAAGAAGTTACATTAATTAAACATAATGCTCGAAGATCTGCTGTGTTAATTTTTTCTCACGGTCTTTCTAACCGTTTCCTAAAAGCTTTGATAATCATACACCATTACTCTATTGAACAAGCGCAGTGGCAAACCCAGCTTCAGCTTCTAAACTGAACGCCGAGTTCAGGAAACATCAGGAAAACTGAGTGGAACTGCTTTTAGTTTGAGCTGCCACTGATCGCCTAACACTTTCAGATAGTGGGGTTTGTGAGTATGTGTGTGAAGTTTTAAACACAGGCTAACTCGCTGTAGAAGTATCTAATCTTAAGGTTAGGGCACAGACTTCAATTGTGGAGAATTGCGACCAATTCTATTCACAATCTTTCCAAAGCAGCTTATGACACCTTTTTCAACACCTCATGGTGCGAGGGGATTACACATCACACCTGCAAAAAACAATTCTCCTGTTAACTGTGCATGTGTTGGAACAGTATGTAAATATTCACTTACTAAAAAAATAGGATAAGATGTTTTTTAATGGATGCCATTTTGCTGTAAACTGTCTGCTTACATTAGCAGCAAACGTCAGCAGTAGCCTGGTCATCCGAATATAAAAATCTATTTCAGCATTTCAATAAAACAAGTTTTTTCCTCTTAAGAAGCTTTGAGCTTCGTCCCAAGATTACTATCGGCTAATTCATGCATGAATCTGGATTCGTCCCTGCTGTTAGAGCAGAGCTGCAGTAAGGCGATGTCACAGAGAGCAGATCCTCACCACAGGTGCAGTAAAAGGCGAGAGGTTAGACTTCCTCTGCTGGGGCACGTTGTAGCTCTGATACAGCACTATTCCGTACTACGGGGGCAGGAGAGAGGAGAAGGCATCAGCTTAACATCCAAGCACCAACTAACTCATTAATGTTTAACTGCGACGCAAGAAAAGTGCAGGGTTTTTACTTTGAACAGCCTGAAGGCAGTCATCCAGCAAGTCCTGCTCTGCTCGTCCTCCGCACACAGCATTTTCAGTTCCTTGCAGTCGCTCCTCACTTTGCTGGGCTGTCGACCAAACAGAGGACGCAGCGGGGAATTAGATTAACGAGATGCACATCGCAAACATGAACAGTAATAAGGCTTCATGTGACCGTGCCAGAACACAGTCACAGTGCAGCCACTGTTGTGCTCGGCAGCACAGGTCTGCGCCCTAATCACAGCAAAGATCTGACTGCTTTGGGGGTTAGAGTGGCAATCAGGAGTCGATTGAAAAGAATTTAGCATTTTCCACATGACCCAATCTTTATTAAATATTTATACACTGCATGCAGTCAAATAACATGAAAGTAAGTGATACAGTAAGGTTAGGAAAATCTATTTTTTTATGATTTATTTATGGACAGAGTTGCGACTTTCCAGGCAACTCTGTCCAAAATCACAGCTTAGACTTTTTCCTTTTTCCTTTCCTCCTTCCACCACCAATAAGGGCATGAGGCACACTGCTCCCTAAATACAACCCCATACTGATAAATTCATTCATGTCACCATGGCAACAGACCCCACCACCCCCTCACCCCACCAAGAAAAATCCCTCACCCAATCCTGCACTGTCACCCCCGCTGACAGCATCTGACACGCCAATCGTCTAGCACGTGTGTGTCTGTGTGTGTGTAAAAGAGAGGTGAAGAGGTCAGGTGGGCCAGATTCCCTGTGCCATCCCTGCTTATCCCCCTGAGCTTATCCCAGATCAGCAGGTACGCCCACCGCAGATACCACCCGGAGCGGGGCACAGTACTGAGAGTTTGTTTAAACCCCTGCTGTGCTGTTTTAAACCCATGTGTCCTCACAGACACGCCCACTACATACAACATATGCAGAGAAGTACTGACTTTAAATAAAGATTTCAAAACTGTGAAAAAATCTGTCAAATGAGACATTTTTTAGCTATTAAAGAACAATAATATTCATCTCTAGTGGGAGCCCTGAAGTTAAAAACTGCACTTCCTGTAATGACCACTAGAGGCTGACTCTAAGACTGAACCAATCCCCACAGACTCCCATGTTAGCACAACTTCCCAGCATAAATAAGCATGTTTACAGTCTGTTCAGCCAGTTCTTTCCTCTATAACCACAGAATGAGAGGTGAGATGTGTTGTTACTGACCAATGACTGTATACAGTCATTGTTACTGATGCACTGAAACTTTATTAAAGTTGAAGTTATGCAGTATTAGCAGATTAGCAGCTGTAGCCGCTAGCTGCCCGCTGAGCTACACTTCAGCTAATCTGAATCACTGCACTTTAACTGCGTTTGTGCATTTGGTACCTTTTGGAGCATTTTGTGTGTAATTATGTGGCTAATAATAAGGCCTGAAGTGTGACTACTTCTACTAACAAACTATTCGAGAACTCTTAGCTTCAGTGTTGCTGAGTCAAGTTCTACTTCCATGTTATTTAGCAAAAATTAGGATGAAATCATGGCTAAATAGAGCACATATCTGTTTATGGATGCAGCTTTCTGACCACCCAAACGCTGTCACCTCTGGCTCCACAAAAATAACAACCAGGCGGCCAAAATCCTAAAAATCAGAAGCCTCAAAACATGATTTCACAAACCAGTGGGTGATGTCACTGTGGCTGCATCTTTATTTACAGTCTGTGGTTTGTCTGTGTGTTACCTTGATGCAGAACTGGTAGTCTGTGGGGGCGTTGTGAAGTTTTCGGCCCGTGATGACGGTGAAGACGTTACTGTCCTCCAGGTCTGACAGTACCTGCAGGTGCCGGGGCTCCTGTGGGGGTTGTGAGGGTGGCGATATATGATTTAAGCTAATGCACAACAAGCGCAAACACACACACACAAATTGTGCGATTAGGCAGCTGACAAGCCCTAGATCTAGTTTACTTCACACCACTTCCACAATCAATGAAGCAATACTTTCTCACCTTGGATGTTCCTTTAGTGGAGTAATAAAGGCCGGAGCGGCGCAGGAACATGTAGAGCTTTTTCCAGGACTTGCGTCCAGGCTCTTTCACATGCAGATAGCCCTGAATCTCTGGACAGCTGCTTGAGTTCAGAAAGTTCTGGAAAACGAACGCACAACAACATCTATCGTTAATACTGCTGCAGGGCAAGGATATTATAATTAACCAAAACTAAATATGGTTTGTTAACTAAAATAAAATATAAATAAATAAAATTAACTGAAATAATTTGGTGGAACTTGGAAAACAAACTAAAATAAATATCCTTAGTTTGAGTGTTTGTTAGTTGGGTAAAAAGTTGTATTACAGCTTGCCTGATGAGGCATTAGTGGACGTGTTTGCTGAAAGTCTGGATGAGTCTCTATGAGTCAACCGCGTTCAACACGTTCTGTGTTTTTATTGCAATAACTGTGATTTTCCCCAAATCTGACCTGTGACCTTAAAACTCAAACTGAAGCTAAGAGAAAACAAAACTAAACAAACATTTTCAAATATTAAAAACTAAACTGAATTAAAAAGAACAAGCCAAAATAAAATAAAAATAACTATAATAGCACTGCTGCAGGGGAAGTGAATGCAGCACTGTTTGGGTATCTGCTTTTAAAATAGATCATAATGAAAATCTGAATTAAAAATGAATATCGCAGTGAAATAATGAGGCAGCTTATTTTAAATTTCTAAAAATCGGGAAGCAAATTGAGCGCAGCACCATAATCTGTCTGTGCATGCGCATGCATATTTTTGGATGAACAGATGGTAACGCTCTTGAGATATCAGGGCTCGTATAATTCATAGTATTGCTTCACTGAGTCATCAACTCACCTGTAAGAGCTGTGACGGAGGAATTGAGCCATCAGACTCCTGACAAAAAGCCACCATCTGCTCCGGAAAAAAGTTCTGCATGGAAAAGACACGCGGAGATCGCCAGTGAGCGAGAGACAAAGAGACAAAGAAAGAGAGAGAGGCACTACAGACCACTTAGGATAGTGCTTCTCTATCCAGAATGTGTGTGTGTGTGTGTGTGTGTGTGTGTGTGTGTGTGTGTGTGTGTGTGTGTGTGTGTGTATGGGATGTGTGAGTGTTCAATCAACACAAGGACTAAGAGCCAAAGTGGTGCGGAGACAGAGAGAGAGGGCTCTCCAGCCCTCGGAGTAGATGCAGTATGATCTCACCCGCTGATGTAATCCCCTTTAACCAGCAGCGCTACTCTTAGCGTGATTGACAAGCCGTGGCCAGCACTCCTGTGTTTTACTGTGCTCATTACCACAGAGCTGAGGTCACCTGCTGGCTCTGACACACACCTAAATCACCCACAGCAATAATGTCACCGTATACCCGGCCAGCACACAACAGTAACAGCCCCACGCTGCGTCCACATCGCCAGAAAAGATGCCACGCAGGCCGCTCGGCGCCGAGTCGCTGGCTGCCAGAAGTAGGGACGTGTACGTCTTTAAAAAACGACGATCAGCTTTGTATTTTGAGATTTTAGCACCTGTCTGAGTTTTAACTGAAACCGTTAGCTTCTTCCAGGAGGAAGAATGAAACGGGAAACGCAGAGAGTGTAGCTAAAATACTTTAGCATTGCCATTTACCCGTCATGTAATGAGGGCTTAAAACCCCAGCTGTGACTCTTTGTCTTATACTAATTGACGATTCCTGAACAGAAAAATGACTAAAAGGTGATTTAAAAACCCCGAAAACACAACAATCCTCTAATTTTTGGCTAAAACGATTAAACACAGAGGTGCTGGCTGCTAGCAACAAATTTGTTGCTGCATTTCAAAAACATCAAAAGATGAAAAACCTTTTGAACCCCAATTTCTCTCCCCCTCTCTCACTCTTTGTGTGTGTGTGTGCTGCTGTGTCTACGTGGCTCTGTGGGGGATGCGTGCTAAACCGAGGCAGTCACAGAAAGGTCACTTTAGGGAGACTCACCAGGGGGTTCCTGAAGAATTCATATTTGGCATAATTCTTCCTGAAGAGGAATTTACTGTCACCGCTCATGGAGGCTTGAACCTGAACCACCAGCTCGTGGTCCTCCACACATCTCTCTGAATGAGGGCACAGACACAGGCAATGTTAAAAAAAAGAAATTGCCCTCTGGGGACGGCGTCGAACAGAAACCGTCCGGTTTTAAATCTGCGAGCGCGGCTTTTAGGGCTCATTTGTATACTAAAAAGATTTTCATGTCAAAAACACTGTTCATTGTTCTTATTTAGATTCATTTTAGGGATTCATCCACAGCATAACAAGCAGCTCTTTTGCATACATTTCCACTTTTTTTCCTCCCTCCTGTGTTGACAGCATATTTAGAAGTGTCCTTGTCACTAAAGGACTTACTGTGAGCTGTAACTGCATCCCCTAGCAGGCTGAACAAAACAGCTTTTGAGGCGCTGAACCTGAATGTAATTCCAGTGCCATACACTGGAACTGTCGAGCATATTTTTATTTTAAAGTGTCTCGCAGAGTAACAGAGTATTAATAAGCTGTTCACATATATGAATAAATACAAGAACCTTTTGTTTGCTTGCTGCCAATCAGAAGAATGCTGGCTTGTTTCAGATAGAGGATGAACAAAGATAATAATAAGGATTATTTAGAACTGTGATTCATGGAAAGCTGCTATGCCAGAGTCCATGAATTAAAAACATGCAGAGATCCATATAAGATGTCTCCAGCAGAAATTTAGCCACATTAACCCCCACATCAGCATTGTGTACAATGACGCAGCAAGAAATAAATACTTTTGATTTTAAAAAAAACATCGCCTGTTACTAAGAGACGGGCGAGGAACTAAGAGGTTAAATAAGGAGGGGCTGTGAAGAGGAAGAAGCGCTGTGAGGCAGAGGAGGGAGGAGGTGAAGGTGGTGGTGTTGGAGGAGGAGGGGGGGGGTTTGCAGGAAGATGATGTCATTTATTTAGGCTGATTGCTGAGAGCAGCAAAGCCATAAGCAAAGTACAAACCACAGACAAACACACAACCACACATTACAGGCTCACATAGACCTAACCTGCTCACTGTGCACCACGGAGGCCCAGTTACTTTCTTTGTGTGTGTGCTTGCTGTGTGTGCGTGTCCTCGTCTATCTTAAGTTGAGGGCACATGATCTCAGAGTGATGCAGGTAAGAATTTGATAGTGGTGGGATGTTCCAGTTAGACGTGGACATGCAGGCAGGGTTCTCCTGTTTCACTGAGGCACAAACACACATTTCTAAACTGAAGCTGTACTCACTTCTTTTTTCTTGCTTAGCTCTGGCTGTAGTTAAGGGGTGGAAATGTCTGGACTCTGCGCGCGTCCGCTCGTGCACGCCCTCGTTGGCTACAAGCGGGGGAATTTCCTGTGGACAGTCAGGAAAGGGCCGATTGGCTAGAAAGGCTAGGGGCTCGTCCAATAGAGACCGGCGATTGGTTCCTCGCAGCTCTGGTATGACGCTTCAGTCCCAGGCCTCTCCGCCCTCCACCCCCACCTTCTGTCTGTCTCTCTCTTTCTTTCTCCCTTCATCTCTCCTTCCCTTCTTCCCTCTCCTCTCCTCACCTCACATTCCATCGCTCCGGTGCACTTTTTTTCCCCCCCAGAAACGCAGATCAAGCAGGAAAGCACAAAGCAATCCTTTGACTCTAAAAATACGACTCGAGAGGAGGAAAGCCTCATTGAGGACAAAGGCAGACCCAGAGAAGAAGAAGAAAAAAAAAATAAAGCTTCAAAAAGGGACACACGGCAAAAGTGAAGAAACGAAGCACGAGTCCTATGTTTTCCTTTTTTTTCCCGCCCCCTCTACCTCTTTTTTCTCACTCCCCCCACCCTCTCTCTGAGCAAACTATTTGGGAGGGAAAAGCATGTGAGTAGAACATGGAAAATGCTTAATCCTACAAGCACCACACCTCCCTCTCAAGTGGTAAAGCCATGCAAACACTGGTGCTGTGATCAAGTGAATACACAGGGCACACACACCTGCAGAAAAGCACACGCAAGGCAAATATGCAGAGATTTAGCAGGAAGCGTTTATTCTCTTATTAGAAGCTACAAGAAAAAAATTCATTTTTTCATGGATCGCATTATGTGCTTTTTTCTTTTAATCTACAGGAAAGTAAAATCAAAGCTCCCAGTTTTTTTTTGAAAATGTTATAATGTAACAGATTTGTAACAATCTGACGACCTCACTGAAACTTCTAATGGTGTTTAATCACCTTTTCATCACTGCATAAACACAATACAAGAACCAAAGTAGCTTTAATTCCTTTTCTTGCACAAAAGAAAGGAGGAAAAAAAAGGCGAGGATCGAGCATCGCTGTCCGCACTGGGATCCACACAGAACACTGAGATTCTTACCAATGCCGAGGATGGGGTGGTGCTCCACCAGCGACCAGGCGCTGTCGTCCAGGCAGTGGCTCTTGTAGACCAGCAGCTGGCACACATCTCGAGCCGTCATGTCGGCCGGGATCTCCACGACTTTGCCGGCCCCATCCTCGCTCCACACCTTCACTATCTGAAAGCACATACACACACATAAGAGGGATGGTGAGGATATGTGTACATGACAGCAGCAAAGGTCATGTTTTCAAAAACAGGTACGAGGCATGAAGTTGCTGTCAGGAGCATTTGCAGAGAGAGGAAAAACAAAAGCTGAGACTACAACAGATGACCAGCTGCAGTTACCTCCATAACCAGGTGCTCTGGTTGGTCCCGTTCACAATATTCTGTCACTCGAACACAAGAAGGTCTTAAAATAAGAAGAAGGATGACGTCCAGGAAAGGCTGGCTGGTCCCTGAGTGTTTAGTTCAGCCCTTTTTGTCCGCAGCAAACGGACGTCAGCGAAACGGACGTTTCCCCTCACATACGAGAATATCTGCACTTGGAAAAGCTTAAAAATCTGCCCCCCCCACCCCGACATTTGAACTTTGATGGCGAAACCGTGTGGTGGATTTATACGTGTTGTATATTGTCATTAAAAATGTCACCGCTGGGAGCAGCAAGCGGGCAGAGTTCAAAGTACCTCCCAGTGTTGCGCCATTTTGAACCATTTCAGCCAAAGTGCCCAGACCGACATTTAAGCCGGGTGTATTTTTTTTTTGGCTTCTTCAAGTGTGTTGCTGCACAGACAACCACAGGCCAGCTGCTTCACACCACTCTACGAGCAGATTCACACACACATAGGGACAGATTGCCCTCACAAATATGAGCAAACCACAGAGGCAAAATTATCTTCTAAATCTCAGAAATGGTAGGTGGCTCTTGTGTGTGTTCTCACACGCCCACGTCCCAACATCCTCTGGTCACAGCCGGGGATTCGGCTGCCCTGCACTTCACAGACGGCCAACCAGGGAGCAACTGTTGAAAATTACATGAAACAAGAGAAAAACCTAGTGATGGGCGAAGGGTTGGAAGGTGGTGGGCGGCTGGCGGGCGGCTGGGGGGTTCACGGAAAATTAATTCAGACCAAGGCCCCCGTAGAGCGGGAATACGTAAAAACGCCAAGTAAACGGCAGCCGCGGTGGTCTGGAAACAACACAGAGCGTCAGGAGCAACAGCATGCAGACATGGAGAAAAACTCCCAGCGCAACCAGAAACAACGTCACGGCACTCTTTGCCCCTGCAGAGCCCGAAGACCGCCTCCTCTCTTCCCAGATGCCACAAAGGAGGGGGGACAAAAACTGCATTTATGACGCATTAGTTTGTTTGAGAAAAGTTTTAAACACACTGACCTGAGGGGGGGAATGCAAACTGGCAACCAGACACGCACACACAAAACTGATGACAGAGACCCATAAAAGAAACAAACACACACACCCACACACACATGCAGAAGTCTCTTACCTCCACAGCCTGTAAGAGGCAACAGTCTGGAGAGCAGGATGGCATTTTCACACTGAGACGCTCTCCAGTGACACACAGGGACAGAGAGAGAGCGAGAGCGAGAGAGAGAGAGAGGGGAGGGGAAGGGAAACAGGAGGCGAGAGGAGAGGAAGTCAGGAAGAGAGAGAGAGAGAGGGAGGGACGGATTGGCAAGGAGAGCGCTAGAGAGGAAAGAGGAAAGAAGGGGGAGGAAGTGACAGAGGAAGGACGAGAGAGGAAGAGAGAGAGAGACAGCCCCCGACTTCTCCAGTCTTCTCGTGCTGGGCAGCATAAAGACTGAGCTGCAAGGAGTGGTCTGAACAGTAGCTCCTCTCCTCCTCCTCCTCCTCTTCCACCACTCCCCTCCCTCCGTTCGTCTCCTCACACAGGATTAACCCAGTGTGGGATTTTTAAAACGGTGAGCTGCTACCTGTCACGTACGCTACCACTCTTATCTTCAGGGTTGCTTTTCAATCCTCTCCTCCAAACCCGACTTCCCAAAAACAAAACACTGTCAGCTCCTTTTACTGATGGCGCCGCACCAGAAGTAGCAGTCCCTCTCCCTGAAACACACCCACACCTCCTCACATGCACGAGGACAGAAAGAACAAGCTCAAACTACTAAGCCAATCACTGAGCAAACACACACACACTGACATTTTCTTTGAGCTGCCTAATGGTTTCAATTTCTAACCCCTCCCTCCCGCTTGTCCTCCCTCCTCTTCCTCTCCTCCTCCTCAGCTGTATGTGAAATACTGTGAGACGGTGTTAGGACCAGAGCAACATGTGTAACGCACAATGACGGCTTCAAGGGTCGCTGAGAAGGCAGCAGGAAGTCTTAAAAGGCAAAAAAAAGGAAGAAAAGTTGGGGTGATTCGATCTGAAGCTGCACGGATCACGTGCCGGCTGGGCAAACAGTCTTTGGGGTGGGAATGGAGGGGAGGGCTAGAAATGGAGGGATGGATAGATGGATGGATAGGCGGGTAGGTTGGTCAGCAAATCTGGAGGAAAAAGGAACATGCCGATAACATGTGTGTGTGTGGGGGGGGGGGATAGAAAGAGAAAAGAGCGAGAGCTATGGAGGAATGTCAGTAATGCAATACTGAGTCATAATCAGGCTCATGTGTAGAGCACAGGCCAGCCCAGCTGGCCCCTAATACAGTGTGCACGCCAACTATGAGGTGCATGCGCTCCAGCACACACACGGGTACAAAGGGGGAAGACAGAATGTAAACTATGAAGACGAGCTCCAGGAGATTTTTTTCCTACACGTTACTGCTCGACGTTTGCTCCAGCCTCATGCTGCAGTTTGGCACTCAGAGTTTACGTTGATTACAGATATTAGAGAATCCCAAATATGATGAGAAAAAAGATTGGAAGAGATAATGAGCTCACTTTTGGAGTCTTCAATTTGTGTTTTTCGACTTTTTTTAGTCGATGTTTTTACTGCCAGGGTCCTTGGAAAGTTTAAAATCCCTTTACCTAGTTTCATGTTTCCATCATGAAACTTAGCTCACCTTGCCGCCCCCCCCCCCTCCACTTCCCTCTCATCTCTCTCCAGGCTGAGGCTGAGGTTACACGCCTGCTGCTGCTTATAGCAACACATAAAGAGGGCCGTGAGCAACAATATACCGGACTGGAAGGTCATGGACAGACATCCGCGTGCACACACACTGCACACATCGGGTCAGAGGTCAAACAAAATAACTTACACCAGGGTCAAACCCACTTGACCAGGAAGTTTATGGGACCTTAAACCACAAGCTAAAAGTGACACACACACACACACACACACACACACACACACACACACACACACACACACACACACACACACTTTGAGTTTACTGTGTAAATCCATGCCAGTGCCACTGTGAGAAGATCCACAGGGAGCCTAGTTGAAACTTCTTAACATGTTTTTTTCCATCTTGTAAAAACTTTAAGTGGCACAACTGATAAACTCTGGAAGGCTTTACTGTTTCTTGGCTGTTGTGAGAAATGGAAAATTGCATACATACTGTATATAAATGTGATTCTTGTTGCTCATCAACCATGAAATGTTCAGAATATAGATTCATTCTCCTGTTTTCTGGCACGCAGGACATTTAGTGTATCCAGCAGTACAATCCATATAAACAGACAAAAGCTGCAAATGCTCACCAGCAGGCAGACTTTCCTAAATATTTTAAATAACATTTACAAATGAAAAATGATGCACGCGGCACTTTTAAAAAGAACCCCCAACCATCCAGTTCCCAAGCATGTTGTTTGGGACAAACTGCTGTGCTGACAGCAACGCCCGGACACTGGCGGAGCTCCACCACCACCCCATTCTTGTCCTTGACGTTTCAAATCTTGCTAGATGTAGTCCAATGGCTGACAGGTGTAGGGTCTTTGACTACGGAGCCAAGCTGCTGTAATATAGATACAATGCAATGTAGTGTCTTGGTATCATCAACAGGCTGGTTTTTTAGGGTTTTTTTAAAACTGTGTGCTGATAAGAAGCCAGGTGGCCCCTCTCCTCCGTAACCCAGATGATGCAAGGCCTATAAATTAACATAAAGAAGTCCAAATTTTGGATTGGTCAGACCATAGGACAGTTTTTCACTTTGGTTCAGTGCATTCTTAAGGAGACATTTGGACCATGGAAGGCAGCAGTGTTTCTGGAGTTTTATTCAAAGTTTTTGGTGAGGGGGTTTGGTTTGAAATACAACAAATACCTACAATTTTCCATTTTCCTTAACTTTAACTGAATACTCTCGGAATTTTACTTATTACAAATGTTTTATAAGCACATGTTTATCTTTAAAATAAATAAATAAATAACTTTATTACTCCACCTGAATTGTTCCACCGGGAGTTTATTTCAGCATCACACATTTTCCAGTCTCCTAAACATTTTTAATGGGTTGTTATCATCCAATGCAAAATGAAAAATCTCACTGACGCACTTGAGAAATGTCTGTATGGACATCTGTTTCTTCCATCTTAACAACTGTTCATCTAGGCCCCTTCAAACTCTACAGGTTTATTGCTACCCCTCTCTGAGCCTGGTTCCATCGGAGGTTTCTTCCTGTTAAAAGGGAGTTTTTCCTTCCCACTGTCGCCAAGTGCTTGCTGAAAGTTCTTCATCTGATTGTTTAGGTCCTCTCTGCATTATTGTAGTTTCTGTACCACACAATCTGAAGAGCCTTAAGGTGAATGTTGTTGTGATTTGGTGCTATATAAATAAAACTGAATTTAATTGAATATTTTCAAACACTGAAAATGTATTACCAGCAGAAACCAACACCTCCACTGATAGCTGACTATGCAGCCACAGTCAGCTAACACACCCATCACTAATGCCAATTTTTGAATGCTGGCTGCTGGTGACTCCCACCCTGCTCTGTTACAGCGTCATCTGCCTTTCATGTCTGAGTGGTCGGGTTTCAGGCCAGACAGAGCTGATTAGCTCTGCAGACAGGCCAAACTCAATTTTACCTCACTGGAGAGCCATCGCAGAACTTCGTCTTGTGGCTCGTTTCCCTGCGACCCACCACGGACAGGGCACACCGTCTGTCCCACACACACTTGCACGCGCACAAACATATATCAGCCAAAAGTTTGATGGATATCTACTGTTCAGTTCGAGGAACTTATCGGGTTTAAAGATCGCTCATGTGGGCACGGTGAAATCAATCCAGTAAGACAGAACATACAACAAGTTTCTAGCTCCACCACACAGGAAAATATTTTTTTTAAAAAGAGTTAAAAGAGCACATTATGTTTCCATGCAAATGTCCACATCCCTTCCACACATCTTCTTTCATCTAGTTTGTCTGAGCTCACCATTCTCCAGTTCCACGGCAAAATCAATACCTGCTGCATAGTTTGGTTATGTAGAGGATACAGTCTCACTGATCTTTTTTGATTAAAAAAAAGTCCAAAGAATGTGGGTAAACTCCCTCTTCAGGAATTTGGATTGAGCACATGTTAATATCAGAGCAGCAATCAGATGCCGACAAAGAATTTCTGTCTTCCAAACTGGGAGAAAAGGACCTGAAACAAGCACTGATCTGTACAGCACCCCCAAATGGTCAGAGCAGGAGGATGCAGCTGAGGATGCAGCTGTGGATACAGCTGTTGCTCTGCTTTACGATGAAATCTGCGGAGGCTTTGCTGTGACTGCTTTTTCAGCAGAGAACATGCAAAAAGTTCCTGCACCAGAACACCAAGGTCATTTCAGGGAAATATCTCCACAATATTACAACACTAGCAACTACATTTTGAATCCCTTAGAAGACTTTTCATTGTTTCCGTTCATTATTATGATTTCAATGGGAAAACTGAATCTACAGTCTATTATGACAGAAATGACCCATGTAATCCTCAGAAATTACATTCAAGCTTGAGTGAGTATGTGTGTCAGAGTCCTGTAAATCATCATGACACACACGCACGCGCGCACACACACACACACACACACACACACACACACGCACACACGCACGCACGCACGCACACACAACTGTACTGAATCCTATTCAGGTGAGTAACTAAATTAAAATTGATCACAAAGCACGATGATTTATGCGAGACTATGCAGCGGCCTCGTGACTATGCAACGAGGAGCTTGTGCATCCTGTCATTACAGGCTGACTTGGGTGAGCAAGCTTTCACTGCCATCTTTACATGCACAGAGACACACACACATGCACCTTATCTGATTGCAGTGGGT